AAAATAATAAAAAAATAAAGTATATTATAAATTTATATATAATCTCTAAGATAATAGAAGAGAATTAATTTATTCTAATTTTAAATTTTAATATAGAATAAAGAAAAAAACCTATAAATTAATAAAAATATTAAAGAATTTTTTAGAGAAGAATAAATAATTATATAATATATTAAATTAATATTACTATGAAAGAAATAGAAAGTTCTAGAGATAAAACTAAATATATATATTAAAATTATATATATAAATATAGAAATACTATTTTAAAATATTTAATTTATAATATAATATTTTTAAGAATACTATAAATTAAGTAATTTTCAAGATTAAATAAAATTTTTAAAAGAGTATTTCTATATAAAAAATTTATAAGTTATAATTTATATAAATATTTAGACTAGTATCTTTATATAGAAAACGATTTTTAAATATTCTTAGAACATTACTAAATAGATAAAAAGAAGATAAACTATATATTATTATTTTTAATAATATCTAGCCTCTATAATTAGAAAAAGATATATATATATATATAATCTTATTATAAAATTTTATATAGATTAATTTTAATAATATTCTACTATATATAATTAATAGTTTAATAATACTATAGTAAGAAATAATAGTATTTCTTATAATATAAAATAATAAATATACTAGTTATTATATAAATTTATATAATATTTTAAAGAAGTTTAAGTAGTATTTAACTAAGTTACTAGATAATAGAATATCAAAAGCTATCTTTTAATAATTAAATAATTAATTTTAGAATACTAAAGTATACTAGAAATAAACTATAATTAAAAAAGTTTTAGAGAAAATCTAATTTTTAGAATATATATATATTAGTAGATAGTAGAAAAAAGAGAACATAATAATAAAAATAATCATAAAAAGTTATAATTTTATAATAAAAGTTATAAGTACTTTCTTAATATTTCAAAAGAAATAAAAAATATAAAAATATATAAAGATAGTCTAGACTACTATAATTATAGAAAAATTAATTATATTAAATTATAATATTAATTAATAGATAGTTAAGTATATTTATAAAAAAATAATATAAAATGTAATAAAATTATAGATAATTTAAAAAACTTAAAAAAAAAAATTTAATATTTTATATAATAAAAATATAAGGCCTTCTTTCTAAACTATAATAATAAAAAATAATTATATTTATAATACTTTTAAAAGAAAAATAAGAAAAGCTATAAAAATATAGATTTTATTAAATTTTAAGATAGAGATAAGTTTTATAAATTAATATAAATTAAATAGAATTTATTTTTAAATAATAGTAGAATATTAAGAAAGGTATGTATAATAGATAATTATAATATAATATTTTACAGAAGTTATATACTATTAATATATATAAAAAATATAAAAATAAACTATATAAATAATACTTAAGATTTAAAGTAATTAATATAAATAAGTATAATATAATACTAGATTAGGACTAGCTAGAGGTTATTAATCAATTAATAAATTAATAAAATAAATTATAAAAATATTATAGAGAAGAATCTATAAATTTAACAATATTTATATTTATATAAGAATATACTATAAAAATTATTATAAAAATATAAATATATTAAATAAAAATTAATAGAATCTAAATTATAAAGTTAATAAGTATAGAATAATATTATAATTTTATAAATATTTTCTTAGAAAAAGAAATAGAATTATATTATCAAGCTAGAATTAAATATAAAATTTATATTTAAATTAATTTATTTATTATTTTTAAGAGAACTATAAGTTTTATATAAATATATAATAAAAATATTTAAAAAAAAATCTAGATTAAATTATTAAAGAGTTCTTATACATTACTAATATTATTTATATTAAAAAAGCATAATAATTTATATTTTTATATATATTATTATAAGTTTAATATTATTACTAGATAAGATACTAGACTATCTAGATACTATAGAGATTTTTATATAATTAAATTTATATAATATATACTATCAACTATAAATTAAAAAGAAATATAAATTATTAATAATATTTAAAATATACTTTAAAACTTATAAAATTATATTTTAAAATTTAAAAATATCTTCTTAAAATTATTATTATAATATTATAACTTAAGATTATCTATTAAAATCTATATAGATATATTAATATTTATTATAATTATAATAATCTATATTAATTTATAATAACTAAAGAGTTATTATTATATTAAATACATTAGGCTAAGAAACTAGTAGTATTCTATTTCTAAGTTTATTATATTATAAATAAAAAAACCCTATAAATAATTTAAATAGATATATAAACTATAAATCTAGAAAAAAAATAGATATATAGATAAATTATATTTTTAAAAAACTATAGGAATAATTAGATATTATTAAATTTATAAAAAAAGTTATGTTTATTTATATATATAATAGCTATTAAAAAAATATAAAAAAAACTACTAGTAGTTTACTAGAATTACTTAAAATTAGTTAAAAATATAATAAAATAATAGAAATATAGAAAATAAAAAATAAAGTATTTCTGTAAATAGATTTATATATTTTAAAAATAAAGTCTATATTCTATATTCTAATATATTTTATATACAAATCCTTGAACTAACTATAATAATCTATAAAATAAATATTTAAATAGAAAAAGAATAATAAAAATTATTAAATATAAATATTATTAACTAATACTAAATATGAAAATTAAAAACTATATTAAAAAATATAATATATATTAATTAATAAATTATAATATATTAATAAATTATAATATATTAATAAATTATAATATACTAATAAATTATAATATACTAATATAAATTCTATAATTTAATAGATAAATTTCTATAACTAAAAAATCTTATAAATTAAATAATAATAGATTTTATAACTAGATTACTTTTTATAGAATACTAAAAAAATATATAATATTATTTTTATAATAGTTGATTACTTTATTAAATATATATTTTATATTTTATATATAAAGAGTATTTCTATAAAAAATCTTGATATAATAAATATAATTATAAATTATTAATATAAAAGGAAACTCTAGTTTTTAATTAAATAACATAAATAGAACTCCAGTTATAATATATATAAACTATTTAATTATATTAAAGATACTATTATATTAAATATTTATAAAAATAGTAATATCTACTATAGAAGTATATGAAAGAAAAATTTATAATATCTATAAATTATATAGAATTCTAATTATAGAAGAGAAATTATTAATTTTTTTAAAAAATAAAATTTTAAGCTTTTTTTAAAATTAAATAATTTATAATACTATAAAAATAGTACTAGTATATATAATACTAGAATACTAAATATAAAATTATAAAATATTAAATATACATATAGTAAATATAGATAAGAATATTTATAAATAATTTAAAAAAGGGCTTTTATTTTAATTAGTAATAAAGAAATTATTTCTTTATCTTTATTATAAAAATATGTAATAATAAGTTATAATCTCTAGTAGACTATAGTTACTTTTAATAATATTAATCTAAAAATTATCTTACTAGTAATAAAATATATTTTAATAATAATTATTCTATAATTATAAAAAAGAAAATTAGTAAAATAATCTAGATCTAATATAAATAAATCTAAAAATATTTATTTTATTATAAAACTAGATATTATATTTATTATTATAATAAATATTATACTGTTCTAGAGGGCTACTATATTATATAAATAAATATAGTGTATTATAAGATAAATATATATAATATATAGTAATAGAGGCTAGAAATATAGAATAAGAAATTAATAATATAGAAAAAAAAGATTTAAAAGTATAAAAAGAATATATATAATAATAATAAAAATAAAGATAAAAGTATAAAAAAATTAGAAATATAAATAAAAAATAGAGATAAACTCATTACTAGAGAAATATTAATAATAAAATAAATAAAATAAGTTTTATATATATACTATATATTAATAGCCTGGATAATAGAAAATTTCTTTTATAATAAAATTTAAAAATTTTATATTAATAAGATTTTAAATATAAATAATAATTATAAATCTAGATTAATTAAAAACTAGAAATAAAAAAAATAATATTATAAAATAATAATAAAATATTACGAACTCTAATAATAATATTAATATAATTTATAAGATAAAATAACCACTATAAATAGTAATTAGTATAAAAAATATATAAAATAGTATATTTAAAACTTAAACTGATTAGATAGATCCTTATAAAAAATTAAGTAATTAAAAAAGTAAAATATAAATATACTATATAGAAAATAAAATTTCTAATAATAATATATCTATAAATTTTTAAGTAAAATAACTAGTAAAAAGCTTATTCAAATTATAGAATTTAAAAGAATATAATATATTAATTTAATAATATAGTACCAGGAGACTTAACTTAATCTAGAAAAATATTAATAAAATCTATAAAATTAAGTTTAATATTATTAAAAATTCTTACTCTGTACTTTAACTATAGAACCAGTTTTAAATAATTAACTATAAGATTATAATTACTTAAGAAAGAGAAATAACTATTATATATTACTAGTTCTTAACTAGGAGAATTAGTAATTAATTTCATTAAATATAAACCTATTTTTTATTAACTATATATTATATCTCTATAATTCTTAGAGAGCTGCTATATTAGTATTATAGCCTTATATATTAACTAACTTTTACTTCTTCTAATCTCCTAGAATTTATAAATCAATAAAATAATTATAATAATCTAAAGTAATAATAATAACTTAATAAGATTACTAGCTCTTAAGCTATAGGATTATAAATTAGTAGCTATTGGTATATATATAAGTAGATGATTTAGTAGTGTTTTACCGTGCCGCCGAGATCCCATGACAATGGATCTTATAGTCTAGTACTGTAGTACATATGCATGGCTGTGTATAACAGTTAGTCAGTTACAGTTTATAGGATTTTTTTAAAGAATCTCTAAGTAATCTACTAGATTCTAAACCCAGCCGCATAACTAGTTAAATCCATATTCCCCCCATATGGTGAAGATCTCCTTACCGGTAGTAGTTGCTAGATCCTCGGCACCTAACACTTACACTCAGCACTGTCGATTCTTGGCAGTTTACAAACCAACACAGTCTCCATACTATTCATACCAGCGCCAGGAAAGTATTTGTTTGCAGGCAACATGTCAGAACAGCCCACCCCTTTGGGCCAAACCTGGTTCGATTGTGCCACCACTGGTGACAGCGTTGAGTGCAGTGATGCTAACACCAAGAGCCAAATACTCGTACCAATCCAGGATATACTTTGTTTAATTCCCAACAACAGGAAATATGCACACGGGTACACAATGTTATTCATCCAGAAAAATGCCTGTTCCCCCAATTCTACATGGAACGTTGAAGGAGTACTTCTTAGATCCGCCCCATCTAAACTGCTATCTGGTCGCCTACTTTCAGATTTACCGAGCCACCTCAATCATTCAAGGGATAGGGATCTTAAGTTGCATATTATCATCTCCACGGCCTCTGGAAGGGGGACGGCGAACATATATTTTAACCAGACGTTGCAACAACTCTTTGACTGGATTGGAGTTGAGCAGTACGAAGTCCATCAGACGCATTCACCCCAGACCATAACTGAATTGTGTCATTCAGTGTTCATCCCGCAAGCTGAAGCGGGTGTCCCCCAGACAATCGTTCTTCTCTCCGGAGACGGCGGAATCGGTGATATCATTGATTCGTTTTACGGCACCCAAAAAGGCATTTGTACCATGCCGAACATAGCACTTGTCCCGGAGGGTACCGGAAATGCGCTGGCAACTTCCACAGGACTAGTGACTCACCCCAAAGCTCCATTGATTGCACTACTCCGCGGAAAGCCTTGTCCTCTTCCGGTTTTTGTTGCTACCTTCTCAGATGGTGCGAATTACGTCCAAGATGGCCCAGCCCAGCCTCCATTAATCGATGAACACCCCTCCCTAACTATATATGGCGGCATCGTTGCAAGCTGGGGCATCCATGCCTCGCTAGTTGCTGATAGCGACTCTGTCGAATATCGCAAATTTGGTGCAGACAGATTCAAAATGGCTGCAGAAGAGCTCCTCTTCCCTCCAGATGGCAGCGAGACTCACAAGTATTCCGGGACGATTACACTGACTCGAAGAGTTGACCAACACAATTTTAACCACGAAGAGATTCTAGAGCACAAGAAACACATGTACGTGCTTGTAACTTTAGTGTCAAACCTCGAGAAGGACTTTATGATATCCCCGGAGTCGGCTGCTCTAGATGGCTCTCTAAGAATACTCCGCTTCGGACCGATGGAACCCCAGCGTGCAATGGCCCTGCTATCTGCGGCATACCGGAACGGCCAACACGTTCAAGATGATGAAGTCATGTACACCGAAATCGAAGAATTTAGAATTGACTTTCATGAGGCAGACAAGAGATGGAGACGTGTGTGCATCGATGGTAGAGTGATAGTCGCCCAGGACAAAGGCTGGATGAGGGTACAGAAGGAGAGGAGGCGTTTAGTGAATATTCTTTTACCAGATCTAATATAGCTCAAACGTGGGGTACCCGGTGGGCCTTTCTCATTTTGGTAAAATGCTGAACTCCAGGTTTCGTAGTAGTACGAATATCCACGTCCCCCGGAAAGGTGACCTTTATAATGTCATGTTACAGGAATCCACTTCATCGCGAGTGACTGGTTTTCGCTGACCTAATGGCGACAACGCTTTTGACCATACAATAAAACCAAGTCGCTTTACTCACTAAAGAGAAGGACCCATGTAAGATAAATTGTCGAGGAAAAATGGCAACATCTGCCGTTTAGTATTTGAAAATTAGCTAGCATTGTTCCCTATATCTGGAGCAGAGAAAGAAGACATTATTTGTGTCTCCGATTGATTTATTGAGATTCTTCGTTCGGCCCAGCTGATCCGTAACCATCCTTGGCTTCGGCCCCTTCTCTTTGTCCAATCAGTGTACGCGAATTTCAATTCACTCGGCTCTTTTGAACAATGATACTTAAATGAATCGTACCTCGCAATTCTCCCTTTAAACTGTCACCCTCGGTACCCGCCCAAGAATCCCAGATAATCAAGTCACTATCGTATCTCTTTGTATGGGGTCGCTATAACCTTAATTCAACCTACACGCTGTTGCCATCATGTCCTTCTCAAATCTGGTTTCCGACCTTGCACTGAGGGACAACTATGAAGATCGGAATTCCCAGACCTCGAACGCACGATCTCAGGTCACTGCTCGATCATACACGAGTACCACTGCCACGAGTGTCAGTATATCTGGGGATATTTCAAGCCAGCTCCATTCGGGCTACAGCCACCCGCTCAGTAGGTCATGGCAAGCCGAGAGGCAATTGACCAAGGTTTGTAACATGCCATATCTCCGGACCATCTAATGTCCCATTCCTACCACACCATTGTTGGACTCTTGGCCCTAACTTCAACTCAGGAGTCGCTGATATACCCTCTTTTCATTACTGACAATCCGGATGAAGAGACGCCCATCCCGTCACTACCTAACCAGCATCGCCGAGGATTGAATCGTTTAATACCATTTTTAAAACCGCTTGTTCTTAAAGGACTGCGATCCGTTATTTTATTTGGTGTACCCTTACACCCATCTGCTAAAGATGCGTTGGGAACCTCCGCGGATGACCCTGCCGGCCCTGTTGTCCAAGCAATTCGTCTTCTCCGGTCACGCTTTCCGGACCTGTACATTGTGACTGATGTATGTCTTTGTGAATACACGTCTCATGGCCATTGTGGGATATTACGTGAGGATGGCACGCTCGATAATACGCAATCCGTTGACCGTATCTCGGATGTTGCTTTGGCCTATGCTACTGCTGGAGCGCACTGTGTCGCCCCCTCCGATATGAACGATGGGAGGGTCCGAGCCATAAAACTGAAACTGATTGAAGCTGGTCTGGCGCACCGTGTGCTTCTTATGTCATACAGTGCTAAGTTTAGTGGTTGCCTCTATGGCCCATTTCGTGATGCAGCCGGTTCCTGCCCCTCCTTCGGGGATCGCAGGTGCTATCAACTCCCTCCCGGTGGCCGCGGACTTGCACGGAGGGCCATTCAGAGAGACATGGGCGAGGGTGCAGATATCATCATGGTAAAGCCCGCAAGCAGCTATTTGGATATTATAAGAGATGCAAGAGACCTCGCAAAGGATATTCCAATTGCTGCATATCAAGTCAGTGGCGAATATGCGATGATACATGCTGGAGCTAAGGCTGGAGTCTTTGACTTGAAATCGATGGCCTTTGAAAGTACAGAAGGAATATTACGCGCTGGCGCCGGGATTATTGTGAGCTATTTCGTGCCTGATTTTCTAGATTGGCTCTAGTCCCGACTTGGTTCAATCAATGTGATGGATGGGTTGGCAATACTCAATGCTGATTATGAATTTAAACCTTCTCTCCTCACCTACAGTGTATTGTGAAGCGTTTAATTGATACTGTTAATAATGGCACTTCATTCCACCAATGTTAATGTTTCCGCTATACTATTTGTTAGCGCCCCATCCGTAGTTAGAACTAGGCGGGGAATGACTGTATGTGTGCGAATATTACCACTGTGAAACAGGATGATGCTGAAAGGTTGCTGGATATAGTACCAGAGCACCCGAGTATAAATGTAATAAGTAGAAATAGAACCAAAATACCTTGCGAAGGGTAAAATGAAGACAGCTTTCGCCCGTTCTGAACCAGTCAGATATAAAGTTGAGCCCCCAAAAAAACAAAAAAAAAGGAAGCAACGCAAAGATAAAACGAATCAACACTGTTGTGGTATTACAAGAGAAAATAAAGGACACCCCAACCGTACGCCAATTAGAAGCCAAGCTAGCAAAGCTGAAAAAAAAAGTCGCGCCCACGGCGGGTTGGAGGGCTGTCACATATAGCTTGGCTTCAAGCCTTGGAAACCATAGGCAACAATGTCAGATTTAACAACTTCACCAGGAGCAACGTATGCTCCACGCCGCAGACGGACACCAGGATAAATTGTACAACCAGCACCGACATAGCAATCTTCTTCAATTGTGACGGGTCGGCCTTGGTAACGGCTTTGCGAGCCTTTCCGTTCCTGCATATTTGCATGAGCCATCGTTGTGAGAATTGTCACTCTTGGGCCAATCCATGTGTGTGCGCCGACACTAACAGGCAAATCATCGACAAAGAGGCAGCTCTCAGACACCATCACGTCTTCGCCAATATGAATGTTGTATCCATAATGACAACGGAAAGGCGCTTCTACCACAGCACCTTGACCAATAGAGCCCGCAGGCCTTGGTGATGCAACGGCTGATGAGTTGATACACGGTTGAGGCACCAATATTTCCTTAAGCAAACGGTTTTGTTCCTTGGCGCTAAGCCCCGAAACAGGATTGCAGGCATTATTGAACCGCCAAAGTGCAGCTCTACATCGGTCCCTTTCTTCCACGAGGAGAACATCGAAAGGCCTATAAAGGTCGCCGCGTAACATTTTATCTTTTTCTGTCTCCTCGCTAGAGACAGCGCGGCCGGACAACTGGTGCTCAATACTCAACGCCATTCGGGCTTGAGCTTGGGGAGTGCTGGTATCAATGCTGTTAGTCTGTGCTGGTCGCTGATCGATCCCGCCTTGGAAGAGTGGGACATTGGTTTTCGTATGGCCGCCATGTGCAAGCTCCCTGATCGGCGGAACGAGTTGATAATCACTTTTGGCGTGTCCATCACGAGACAATTCGTGGATCGAAGGTACTTCCCGAAAATCAGATTTTGGTAGGGAATCTGCAATATAACTGGGGTGGCTTGCATTTGGCCAAGTTCGCTTTGACCATGAGCCCCGGCTAGGACCAACCCCCGTGGGACTGGTAGTGTTGAACTGCGTTGAGGCGCGGGTTTCATCATCAACAATTATAGGCCTCATTTTCCCCGGTTCAAGTGGTTCTACTAGGCTTTGCTGTCGATCGTGCTGGTTGATGTCGTGTACATACTGTCCACCAATATCCGGATAACCCTCCTTTGATTGTAGTGGGACCGGTGTTTTCGTTGTGGATGGCTTCTGCCAAGTGCTTCGAGATGAATATCCTTCGCAGATGAAGCCTCCTCTAATACAATTATTGCCTGCAGTATGAATAAGCCGTGAGATGTCGGTTTTGAAGAAAACCAAACACGGGGGGTTGCGAAACTTACAGGCTGGATGCTGTTCATCGCACTTTTTTTTTCGCCTTCGGCAAGTCATGCAACCTGTTTTAGTCCTATTGCTGAAGACGCGCTTCCTTTTGGGTGCAATTTGCACGGGGTTTTGTGGACGATCCTGGGGGAAAGGTGCGGCCGTCTGTTCGTTTGATATAGCACCATCGATAGGGCGATTGACGCTATCCCAGGTCTTTTGGGCCATATCAGGCCCTTGCGCATCGCGTTGAAGTGCCTCCGCTAGTTGGGCGTCCGAAGCATCGATTTGCTGCGTCCGCTGGGCTTGATTTAAAAGTTGAGCATCACATTCATGCCAATTGGAATTTGTGGAGAGCTTCCGGTTGTTATCACCCTCATCTAGCCTGGTGTGATTTTGAGGGGTTGTGTTCTTGGATTCAGTATCACTTTGGGAGCTCATAATCCCATTGGGGACGCCTGATTGTGAGTGGTGTTCTGCGGGACCATCCGTGGGTTGGACAGGGCTTCTCGGAGCGCGATATGGTGGATATGGATCATCATCTTGCTCGTCTGTTTCTGATCTCTTCCGTTTGGAGCGATTCATAGAATTAGAAGCACCGTGGGATGTCGAACGCTGTGACAGTTGTTCATCTATATCGTTACGGGGATTCCCATTCTCCTTTGATTTTTCTTCTTGGTGAGTAGACGGGTCGCACCCACCAGGAGGCCAGGCCTCAGTGGAATCTCGACCGTCTCCGTCGATTGAACTGCCACCAAAAGTGGTAACTGCAACTGGAGCTTCTCTCCCATTCACGGCCGTGAATCGTGAGGGGCTATGATCTACCCTAGAATCCTTTTCAGATTCCTGGTCGTTCATCACTGATGAAGCCGCGATTGTGCTTATAATGATATGCAGAATGAAGGTCCAAGAGGCGCCCGTTGTCGAGCCGGATATTTCTAGGAAGCCTGCCACTGAAAACAAACGAACCCCAGCCTCAAGCACTTGCTGGATACACGGGTATATGCTGGCACGGCTTTGGAACCGCCTTTAACCGCCCATAGGTCACCTAGTGTGTGGAAGACAAGTGATGGATTTGAACCGGCTCCGCGACGCGCGCCACACAGTATGTATGACAGACTCGGAAGTATGCGCGGGACGCAAATCACAGCACAGCCGACGAAAAGCTGTGGTATCCCGACAAGGAGGAGAGTATTTCAAGATGGTGTATCAGGGTCGCAATTTACGGTCGAACCAAAATTAAATTAAAGAGTTGCTCAGTATCCGCCGTGGAGTGTAGTGTGCCAGCAGGCCGTTGGTAGGGGCGTGGAGCGCGGGGCGCCAGAGCTAAGACGAATGAATTGGATACGGAGTGTCTCGTGCACCCCGGGGTTAAAGCCTGGTGGTTTGTCACCAGGAAGGGTTATGGCCACTGAGTGTAGATGAGAGCGAGGGCCGACTGGGGCTGACGGTGCGTCTCGTCAGGGAGATGTGGCACACCCAGGGCTGGAAACTCAAAGCTAAAGGATGAGACGAGAAAGGGGCTTATGAGAGATACGAGGGGAAATAAGAAAGTCTGTCTTGGGAGACGAGGGAGGAAGAATAAGCGATAGTAATGTTTCAGCGAGTAGCGTAACAGGATGAGAATATTAATTATCAGATACCATTGCCGCCTGCAGATGGCAGTGATCGTGAGAAAAGACTCCGCGTTTGACGCTTTGCAGAAAGATCCAATAGTAACCAGTCAGTAGCAGAGGGCCCCGCCCCCTTCCAGCCAGAAAGGGAGGAGAAAAAGAAAAATGAAGAGAGTTCCTGCCAGAGTTTGGACCAGGGGTCGTTGCCCAACGGACCAAGCAAGATGGAGAGATGCGGCTGCCAGCTGGCTGACGAGAACTAAACTTGGGTTAGTTGGCGCGCGATCGACCGTGACCGCGCGCAGGAGAGTGGCTCCATCATCTTTTCAAGGAACACTTGGAACACGTTCGGATGGGCGCAGCCTTGGGATTGGGCGGCGTCGCGCTCAGGCGATACGCCACCACGAAAGGGAGGGTCAGACGCTCTCTTCCCACGCCGTTGTGCAGTCTACCGCCAGGGAAGCGCGGGACAGCGGCGGGTGGAAACACTGGAACAAGATGCACATTGGCTGTCACCCCCTTCCCCATCAAAACTTCGTCGCCATTGGCGCGAGGTTGCGGTTCTCATGGATCCATCGTGCATCTCACAGCCCCCCCAGAGATTATCGGCGGCAGCTTGAGCCTTGACACGAGGCAGGCAAGAAACTGATTTTCCTTAAAAAACAAAGATAAATACGTAATGATCACACCTATTAATGTGGCATTTTAAAATGGCTCAGCCGCCAGTGATAATACACCATCACCACGATGCCCAATACTACTGAACCCGAGCATACATATCTATTATTGATACAAACAGTCACCTGAGCTTCGTATTATCTGTAGACACCTTGACTTTTTGGTACTCGGAAACTGACCTGCTCAAAAAAACAACATGAATTCAACCTAGATTGAAGGGATCTGCCTGGGCCCTGGGGCCTTCGATAGTATCGCACAGCCATACTGGAAGCAGCAACTTGAACTGGTGTAGACTACTCCGTGCGCTGTAAACAATCCACGTTTGGGAACAGTGGAGTAAGATGAGCAGCTTCCTGCAGAACTATATTAAGCCTAGCCAGATGAAAAAATAATACTATTGCGCTGGAATAGCACAGGTTTGAATACCATGCGCATAACACGGAGAGAACTCAAGTAAGCTGGTGTTATTACCTGGTACACATACATATCGTTGGGACCAAAGCGTATAAAACTAGCTGGCACCATTAATTTTTATATTTTTGTTATTTGAGCATCAAACCCGAGCAGAAGTTCCAGCTCCAGCTTCAGGAAGCTGTCCGCGAATTGGTCGCTGACTAAGAAATGTATCACTGAGATCTCACCCACACAGCTCACCGCCAGAGGTCTAAGTCCCTCAGGAGCGATTCTTCCTTGAGAGCATCAGATCCCGCAGTCTTCCTCATACCTCAGACTCGCAACCAAAGCTCCCCCACTTTTCTTTCTCAGTTCCTGGTGCGACCTCTACACCACACTTCTTCACTTTCCTCTCAGGCCCCCTTGTGCGTAACCGCAGACAAACCCCTCCAAAGAAGCTTTTACCCCGCCAAACAATTAAACGTGCCAACCCATCGTCATACAACGCATGCCGTAAACACTGAGCAACTCTTTGGAGTTTTTTCTTCTTTCTCTCTCTCTCTTTCTTTTGTCTCCCTCTCTCCCCCCTTCTTATTTTAGGGGTTTTTTTGTTCTTTTCTTTTTGTTTTTCTGTTCTCTGCATTAGGGGTCGCTAGATATTCCATTATTTTCGTTGCACCCATCGAACTTCCACTGAAAACGCGCTCTTCTACTCTGAATCCCGCGACGGCATGTCTGTCTCCATACAGGAGTTGGACACCACTGTCCAGGCATTTTACGAGGGCAAAGGTGACCTGGTAGGTTTTTCCGATTGAATAATCGAACTGCAGAGGCTCGATTGTTGACCTTAGGATTCGCGTCGTGAAGCAAAAGCAAGCCCAGCAGACTCTGACCGAAGTAAGTTATGTTGCAATTGTGACGCAGAGGGAGAATACGCCTGACTTGATTTATCCCGTAGTTTAAACAAAATCCGGATGCCTGGTTGATTGTGGGAAATATACTTCAAGAGTCGCAATACCCACAGACTAAATGTGGGCGATTGCACCCAAGCCCCAATTAACGACTACACCGCTAATAGTTTTAGACCTTGCGCTCCAAGTTCTCGACGATGTAATCATGACACGATGGAAGGTTCTACCGCGGGAACAATGCCTAGGTGAGTGTAGCAGAAGAAAAATCACTTTGGAATCCCATGTCTGATCCGAATTGTCGAAGGAATCCGCAATTTCATCGTTAATTTTATAATCGAGAACTCGAAATCCGAGGAAAAGCTAAGAAGCGAACGGGCGTTCCTGAACAAGCTTAACTTAGTCCTCGTTTCCATATTGAAACAAGAGTGGCCGCACAACTGGCCAACCTTTATCAACGAAATAGTCTCATCCTGTCACACAAGCCTCTCCATCTGCGAAAACAACATGGCTATCCTTCGGCTGTTATCCGAAGAAGTGTTTGATTTTTCTCAGGATCAGATGACATCCGTGAAAGCAAGGAACCTGAAGACATCTATGACACAGGAATTCTCGTCAATTTTCCAGCTGTGCTCTGAAGTTCTCAATACCGCAAACCAACCGAGCCTAGTCAAAGCGACACTAGAGACGCTTCTGCGATTCTTGAACTGGATCCCTCTTGGGTATATCTTTGAGACGCCGGTCATAAATACTCTCCTGACGCGATTTTTGGACGTGCCCGAGTTTCGTAATGTGACCCTTAAATGCCTCACAGAGATTGGTGGTCTACAAATTGGGCACCCCTACAACTATGATGAAAGACTTGTTCACATGTTCACAGAGACTCTAACTACAGTATCAAAAATAATCCCGTTGTCCATGGACTTGAAGCAGACCTATGCAAAGAGTAACTCGAGAGACCAAGAGTTTGTGCTTAACCTGGCGTTATTCCTTTGCAGCTTCTTTAGCGCGCATCTCAACGTAAGTTTTATTTATTATTTTATTTTTTTATCCCCCCCCCTTCTTTTCCCTTTTTCCAAGAGCAAGGCTCGTTATTACGCAAGTGCTGATGACGACCCAATTAGGTTATTGAGAAACTACCAAACCGGGATTATCTCACGCATGCCCACTTCTATCTTATTCGGATTAGTCAGATTGACGATAGGGAGGTGTTCAAAATCTGTTTGGAATATTGGACAAGACTAGTGCAAGAGCTTTATGAAGAGATGCAGCAACTCCCAATTACAGATATAAACCCCTTGGTGAACATGGGCGTGAGCGGTCTTTCCAATGGAGGAGCCCCGCATCCAACTACTCTTGCGAACTATCCCCTCCGCAAGCACAAATACGAAGAAGTTCTGTCCAGTTTGCGCACCGTGATGATAGAAAAGATGGTCCGGCCAGAAGAGGTTCTAATCGTTGAGAACGAAGAGGGTGAGATTATACGCGAGTTCGTTAAGGAAAGCGACACAATCCAGCTGTACAAAACAATCCGCGAGTGCCTGGTGTATCTCACTCATTTGGACGTCATCGATACAGAGAACATCATGATCGAGAAACTGGCCAAACAGGTCGATGGGACCGAATGGTCTTGGGCAAATTGCAATACCCTTTGCTGGGCAATTGGCTCAATCTCCGGAGCCATGAATGAAGAGACCGAAAAGCGTTTTCTTGTTACCGTTATTAAAGACCTCCTCGGCCTCACAGAAATGAAGAGAGGGAAAGACAATAAAGCTGTCGTGGCGAGTAATATAATGTACATCGTGGGGCAGTATCCGCGGTTTTTGAAGGCCCATTGGAAGTTCCTTAAAACAGTTGTTAACAAGCTGTTTGAATTCATGCACGAGACCCATGAAGGTAAGCTACTCAACCTAGTTCCAGAGCCTGAAGCTTACCCCACCAAGGTGTTCAGGATATGGCCTGCGACACGTTCATCAAGATCGCCAACAAATGTAGAAGGCACTTCGTTGCGCTACAACCAGGAGAAAATGAAGCTTTCATTGAAGAAATCGTCCGCAATATGCGCAAAATCACCTGTGATCTTTCACCCCAACAGGTCCACACTTTTTACGAGGCCTGTGGACACATGATATCAGCCCAAGGGCAGAAGGGTCTCCAGGACCGATTGATCGAAAATTTGATGTCATTGCCCAACTCTGCCTGGGACACTATCATCGCACAAGCCAACCAAGATCCTTCTATCCTCCAGGATGGGGAAACCATTAAGATTGTTGGAAACATAATGAAGACCAATGTCGCTGCTTGCTCTTCTGTTGGTACTTATTTCTACTCCCAACTAGGCCGCATATATCATGACATGTTGAACATGTTTCGGGCCTCCAGTCAGCTCATAAATGAAGCTGTAGCGCGTGATGGTAAGTTTCACAAAAACCAGAAACCAGAAGTCCCCATCCTCCTTTTCCTCGGCAAGACACGGAGTCACCTCTCCTTTAGCATTAATGTCCGTGTCTTTCCGAATCTTGAACTTAACGGGGCCTGATCGTTTCCTTAGGGGATATTGCGACAAAAACACCAAAAGTCAGAGGTCTTCGGACTATCAAGAGGGAAATCCTGAAACTTATCGATACGTACGTTCAGAAAGCAGACGACATGGAGATGGTCAACGCGAATATTGTTCCACCGCTCCTTGAAGCTGTCCTAGTGGATTATAACCGGAACGTACCAAACGCGCGCGAAGCCGAGGTCTTGAGTGTCATGACGACAGTCATCCAAAAGTTGCACGTAAGTTACCTGGCGGAAATCATCCCTACCTCGAGTTTCGAAATGCTTATAATACATGCTGACCTTTTTAGAACCTGATGGAGGATAAGGTGCCTTTGATTATGGAGAGTGTTTTTGAGTGTACATTGGAGATGATCAACAAGGACTTCCACGAGTTCCCCGATCACAGGATCCAATTTTTCAAATTATTGCAAGCGATTAACCTCCACTGTTTTCCCGCCTTGCTTAAACTAGACGCCACGCAGTTCAAATTTGTCATCGATTCTTGCATGTGGGCAAGCAAGCACGATAACCGTGAAGTTGAAAACACTGGTCTCACGATGTGTCTTGAACTTATGAACAATATGGCTGAGACTGACGTACAAACGGCAAACATCTTCTTCCGTCAATTTTACATCCCAATCTTGCAGGATGTATTTTTCGTTCTCACCGACAGTGACCATAAAGCGGGTACGCATTCTTACCTTCAGATCACAAGTAATTTAACATCACTAACTCTTCCATAGGATTCAAGTCTCAGGCTGGGTTGCTCTCGCGAATGTTCTACTTTATAGAAGCCGGCAAAATACAGGATCCTATCTACACCCCTGAACAAGCACCTATCGGGACCTCAAATAGAGATTTTCTTCAGAAATACGTAGCCGATCTTTTACAGACTGCTTTCAAGAACCTTCAGGAGTAAGTTCTAAACCATTCGTCTTTCGATCAATACCGCCTGTTCTAACGCTCAGCTAGAATCCAAATTAAACAATTCATCATTGGTTTGTTTACTTTGAACGACGACTTCAACAAGTTCAAGACACACTTGCGCGATTTTCTGATCTCGTTGAAAGAGTTTGTCGGTGACAATGCTGAACTTTATGCGGAAGAACGAGAACAGGCCCTGAAGGACGCGAAGGCTGCGGAACGTGATCGTGCAATGAGGGTTGGAGGGCTGCTGAAGCCGTCAGAGATGGACCATGACGACGAGCTATGACTCGACAAGGAACTGAAACCCGAGACTAATTTAGCTTCATCGGCAAACATGAGTTTGGGGAGCTATAAGTCTTTCACCAATGAGGATTGGCTGGATGGCTGGTCTTTCTATGGGCTGTAAGTATGAGAGATGACCAAGTCCTTCTTCTGCGTATTTCAGAATGTGTCTTGGCCTGTTAACCGTCCCTCCAATGTACCCCTTTTTTTGGAGTCGAGTTCCCATGAAAGGCGAATATCTGATATTCGATCTCCCTCAAACCTACAATGGCAGCGAGTTGGTTGCCTGACATACAATTCTCGTATGCTGCTACTTCTGTGAGCCTCCATAAGTCGCTCGTCGTTGGAGACCTGCTGGCTGTATTTAATTCCAAGTAGGTTAGAAAACATGTAAACATTACACATTCCCTGAAGATTAAGCCGCGAGTAGACATCTTGACTACCTAGGTAAGACGGGACATGCGCTACGTACTTTGCGCTCGGACGGAGTTGGATGCAGCAAAGGCAGGCGGTGAAATATTGTACCCAATTACGAGATTTATTAGCAGAGACAACGCGATCAGCAACTCACGATCGCCTTTGACGACTGTCACAAATCCCGATAAAATCACCAGAATTAGACGTTTGCTTAATACTTAATAACACAAGCCTCAAGCCCCTCGAGATTTTCTACGAATGCAATGATGTCGCATGGCCGCCAACTTACCTCCCGAAACCCAGCATCTAACTCCTGTGTTTCTGTCTCTCGAGTACAGGACAATACGTCAGATAATCAGGTAACTGGAACGTTAAGGCTAAGAGCAGAGGATGATGCTTCGGCTACTCGTGGTGAAACGCCGGCACGGCATATTCGATGGAGCCAGGATGTGGTAGATAATGAAGGAATGGGAAAGAAAAGCTCAAAAGGTAACAATAGGGAGACACCGCAACCAATGACAGGTACCATTTTATGCAACCTCAAGCTAATTGATTGACTATCACTGCCTGTGCGTGCGTCATAGTGTGCTGCATCTACCATAAGACGAGGCCTGTTGGAGAAAGTAGTTCGGAATCAGAATCCTCGGAATCAGAATCGTCTGATTCGGACAGCGACCGGGGGGCTGAGGCTGCGAAGTCTAAGAAGAACTGCAGACGGAATAGTCATGACCACAGTGGCTCTCAGAAGTCGCCGAAAAGAACTCGAACGCCTGGTGACCATGGTCCCGACGGCGAGAGACGCCAACGAAGAAAGCCTAGTCCAAATGCCTACGAAAAGATGCCAAAATATACGAAGAGCTGAGTTTTTAAGGTCGGGCGAACTTTCCAAACTATAAGTTGGACATGTTATTAGACAGCCTTCCTCTTATTGCTCAACGGAGAGAACCTGACTGGAATACACATCAAGTATGATGATGTTTACGATGTCGACTAATATACTACCTGGGGATCCACCAATGCGAAACCAACCCATGGAAAATGGGAAAATAAGTACTTAAACTCTATCGGGGCCTTGGAGTTGCGGGCTTAGATGCGCCGCCATGAACCACATAGGACTAATATAGTGTAGGGTTGGTGCTTGACTTGTTCCACTCCAAATTGGAACAGTGGAATCAGATTGAAAGTAACTAGAAGAAGTTCTCTCGACCCGAAGGTGCGGGTCCAAACAAGACTGCAACCACAAAAGTTAATAAGCTATTATAACACCATGCTTCTCCGCCTAGTAGCAATTCGCTGGCCTCGTCCTGTCCCCGTTGAACCCATCAAGGACAATGTGTTAGGGTTCTCTTGTGGATCTCTAGTGGTGAAGGTGTCGACCTTCGTAGGAAACATGGAGAGCTCGCTATTTGAGCTGTCTGAACCTGAACAGGTCGTAGCCAAATCATTGTATAAGCTTTCTGCATTCTTGACACTGGTGCAATATCTCGGCATGGTGTTTCGTCCGGAAGACTTGGTGTTTGAAGAATGTCGCCGGGATTTTCGGGTTGTAATTAAAGCTGCCTGGTCCACGTCCATAGAGATATCCGATCTGCTGTGTACAGAAAGCGAGTGATTGTTTTGAACAATATCCTCTCGATGTGGCATGCTGCCGAATTGGTCCTCCAGTTCTCTTTCGCCTGGTACATATTGCTCTTGAGCTTGACCTTCCGCGTCTTCCTTTCCGCCGTCATGATGTTGCGTCGAGGATTGGAGCTTCTTTTCCGGACTAGCATTCAGATTTCGCTTCAAATGTTCGCCAGGCGGTTTGTCGCCAACTAAATCATGCCCTTGGTTTGTAATTTCGGAGCCCCAAGCCTTCTTTGAAGAGCTGCTTTTATTACCGGACTGTTCATGCGGTTCCCAATTTGAGTCTGTGTGTGAACTGGATTTTCGCGACCTATCCCCACTGACAGCCGGTCCAAGTTCGTTTGTCGATCTCCTCATCTTGTCTCGTAGGTTTGGTTCGGCGTAGCTAACAACTGCGCCGCGTCGCCTTGACGGCCGAGTATTAGGCATATCTGGAGTTGTGGGGATTTCAGGTTGCTGGATATTGTGGAATTGTATGGTACCCCTCCCCACTTCGATCTTCACCTCCTGTTTGTCATAATCCATCTCCGTATCGTTGCCGGTCATGGGTGTACTAGGTTTCTTCGGGGATGAACATTCGTTGCGACTCTGGTCATCTTTGGATTGCTTTGGGATCGAGTTCTCATTGCTCCCGACCATCGTAGGGTTTTGGTATTTGTCCTGAATCTTCGTAGTACTTGATTTTGTAGGCGAAAATATGGTTCTATTCGTGCTCTCTATTATTGTTCGCACAGTCAGTCACGACCTTGTGAGGTGGAAGCCAGCGTCACATACTTGGTTCGAGCACTTTCCGCTTAGGTTGTACATGGCTTTTAGCCGCCTCTTTTGGCCCAGTCTTCTTTTTGGGTGGAGAATGACTATTTTGCGGAGACAGCCTCACTGGTGACTGGGCAGGCCGATTGAATTTAAAGTCATCATCCTCAATTGCAACCGATTCAAAAAAGGGTTCTTCGTCTTCGGCTGAGAACTTGCGTTTTGCTCCACATTTCCGAGTGAATCTTGAATCGAGAAGAGAAGTGGAATTTGTGTCACCATGGACTTCATTGGCTGAAATTGGACTTGGTCTTTTCTTTCTTCTTGTTTCAAGGTTGGGAGGTAATGGGCGTTCATTTTCTGCATACCCAATCATTGCGCTCGTGTTCGTGTATCCTATCGGTGATTTTATTGGCAAATCATCACTTTTATTATCTTGTTTGGGGGATTTGGCAGAAATTTCCGACCCAGAACAACTTGGAATATCCGTGTCGCTGTTCGGCACCTCTTGTAACTCTTGCGCACTACCAATCGTTTCAGTAACAGGTTGGTTTTGTTTGAGAAGCGTGTACGTACCCGAGTGTGCGCCTGGGGAAATACTTGTCTTCCAGTATGACGGGGAGTTTCCCATTTGCTTCAAGCTCCAAGGCTCGGTCGAGATTGACATCTCTAACTGGTTGAGTAAAGCCTGTATCCCTTGGAAATTCCCCCCCCATCGGTTCGGGTTCATCCCGTGTTTTTTTGGCATAACGACGCGGCAGGCTACCCAATTCTGTGATCAGGCTGCTCAGCTCAACTAGTTTGCTGTCTAGCCTAGCTTTTACGTCATAAACACCATCGTGAAGTGTTTTTGCTGCCTCAAACCGCTCCAAATCCTGCGTCAGAGCTATGATCTGCTCTCGCAGCGACACGTTCTCAGAAAGTAAGTGGGAGACTTCGGACTCGAGGCTCCGAATTCGGAGTGATTGGATTGAGTTTACTCGAGCAATTTCGCGATTTTGTCGTACGAACCGTCTTTTTACTAAACAAAAATATTCTATAAGCATGGCGCAACGAAATTTAGGGGTATTTAGATCTTTATACGAACAAATTTCAATTGGTTCAGTCGAGGCTGTTGACTCGTTCAGACGAGCCATGATTCACAAGTGGCAGCGGCGGTAGAATTGTTGGAATCGATGGCCGTTGGCTTCAGTATATTTTAAATAGGAGCCGAACTTGGTTGGTCAACACAATCATAAGGGTGCTGAAAGCTTGAAGGTTGGGCGCGTGCGTGAGAGATTGTCGAGAAGAAGGTGCAGGGAGACATTTGGATTTGAGTTGAGGTAGGTCCACGCCATCCACTGTTGATGATTTTCCATTATAGGAATAGCGGAAATCTCCTTTTGTTTTGCAACACTGGAGGGTGCGGGCGGTCCAGTCTCGGGCAATCATGAGGGACAACGGCCACCTTGAACGCGCACTGGTGTATTTCACTACCACGTGGTGGCTCTGTTAATTAGTGGCTAAATTGTCATTATCCTACAAATATTGGGGTATTTTGCGCCAGCATTCGAAATCGAGAGACACCCTCCCCTTTCCCCCGCTTGATTTCAACTCCCCACCACCATGGCATATACGTCCCGCCCAACTTCCATGCTGGCCCCTGGGACATCAGCAGCGTCCCTTCGACAACCAAACGGTGCCATATCTCAACAGCAATCCTCAGTTTTGGCGGCTCGCATTGCGTCAAAAAAGGCTGAGTTGGATAATCTTGTCCAGCTCCGTGACATGAGCAATGGCCTCGCAAGACAGATGGAGGCACTTCGAACTAAACTGGAAACACTCAAAGATGGTACAGAGGGTGTGTAACTCCGAGCTTAGCATGTTATTTGCACATGAACTGATCTTCTTACTAACTATGAATGCTGTTCCATGTGGTTAGCGGTGGCATGCGTACTTGCAAATTGGGATAACGTCCTACGGGCAATTACCATGGCCTCAAGTATGTTTTGGGCTCTCGATCAAGATCGTACTATATTTACTGATGTGGTATTTGACTCAGCTAAATTGGCAGTGCCCAAAGATGCGGTGGAGCAAGAAGCGAGTGCCGATAAAAAAAATGATACGAACTTGCCCTTGCCAGCGACCTTGGTTCGAATTCCCGCAATTCAACAAGACAAACCCAGCGAATAATGAACGATATGATATTCTCCTCCACATATGATCCCTTTTCTGCACGACGTTACGGTTATGTAATACCCGTGCGGACCGAATGGAGCTATGCTAATGATCCGGTCATTTCTCCTCAACTGAACTCCGATCAGGTGGACCACACTGCTGCTGATGGGATCTGATTACCTGGATTCACCTAAACCTACGAAAGATGTCCGATAATTTACAACAAGGTGCCCACTAACGTGCAACGTTATTAGGGCCAACCTGAGTATCAGACACAGCCAACTCTATACCGGGTGTAGCTCGGTGGGATAAGAATGATCTGAAGGTGCAAGGAATTGTGCCTTTGGGTACAGTTAGACCTCAGACTTGTCAAGTTTGCTATTTTGTGTGTGTTTAACGTGGCTTGCCTCCACGTATAATTGCGGAGTGTATCATACGCAGCTGGCTTCAAACTTGCTATCTCGCAAACACGCCCCTGCCTTTGCAAAATTCTCAGCATGGAAGTAACATGAGCCTAGTTTAAATTGTGAGCCTTACTAAAAGAAACAAATCAAAATAAAAAAGTTATACGCAACCTAACTACGGACCTATGAAGTATGGACAGAGCCATAGTACGTATCTCGTGTCCTGCGGATATCAAACTTAACCCAACAATCGGTCACTGCGGAGAACGCATCCGCTAGTGACAGCTTCCAAGCTTGGAATCTTAGCTTAGTCCCGGTGGGGCCCGCTACCAGAAGACACAAGCGTAAAAGGTTTAATACACCTGGCGGACTCATAATCCTAGACAGTATGTACTGGGGCTTCGTAGGCAGTAGCGGCCGCAGCCTCTTGCCATGCGGTTCATGATGGTTACCAGCGGAAAGACCAAAAGCCCCTTTTGTATTTCTGCCGATTTCTTGTTAGATTACTACTCGTATGTAACTTGTACTATAGTCAATGTGGAGAACCAATGATTCAGGTTTAATTCGGCAAATGTCGTAGGTACATACGGCAATTGGTGGTAGTGGTTCTCCCTTCAAGGGAGAGACTACAGACTATGGGCTACGATAGACAACGAGGGGTAATGTTTATCAAATGCCTTTTACGGCGTTGAGATGGTGATTCAACAGTACCTGGGAGGAATGTGCAAAAGAAGCAGATAATTTGAAGAGATAGGTAGCAGAACTTAACTATCCCGACTTGTGGTCCGTTCACCTCATTGTTGGATGAAGTGAGAGGGATAATATTGAAATGGCAGCATTTTACCATTCAACCATAAAAAACCACTGGCGGTATTAGGCTGTCTTTCTATTGCATTATATGCTGATAGACAAGAGTTTCTCTATATTTGCAGAGAAGTGTAGGAAGTTAACTTAGTCTTCTGATGTCCCTGGTGCACATAGGCACATTAAAGCTGCAGAATAGTGAGAGGATGCTTAGATTGATGATGACTCATGAAACCAATAGTTTCAAAATTTGTATCAGCCAGATTAGTATTCAGATCAGACCTTGGGACTTGTCATGATGCACTCAAAATGTATGAGCTTTGTTAGACTAGATCTTCAATAAACGGAGTACTGTTGGACCCCACCCCCCCTCCCCGCAAGAATTTAGCTCCTTTTAGTTTGATTTAGAACATCTTTTCTTTATAAAATCCATTCTTGGTCCCAGAGACAAGTTATTGTGAGCATGAAGAGTTGAGGAGCTTGGGCTCCTGCAACCTTATCCAAAGTATCAATTCCTTAGGTTTGTCATTTGCTTGCGCCTTGCTTGCATTTTTTATTGGACATTGCCTATCCCTTTCTTTTTTTTCTTCCTTTCCCCAAACACTCCTTCGCAAGTTCCCATTCTTACTGCTAATGTAGAGCGCTCGAGCCACGACATGTACGGAGTTCGCCGGTGTAATACGTAGCAGGATGGCATCAGTGGGAGTGTGGGACCGGTCAAGCTTGGGGTCTCGGACGGCCACCTACGCTATTTTGGGTTAGGAGCCCGCTGGGAACGCACATCACCCGTCGGCTCATATCCACTATCCTATCGAAGCTGATGGGCCACTAAGTCGTCACTCCTGAGGGACTCCTTACTGACTGTTGGGTTGTTTGACAGCTGGTTCACCCTGGTTGGAATTTGGGTCGCGCATGGGGCGGGGACTGAGGCAAAAATAAATCGCTCTGGAGTAATTTATTCTCTGCCTCTAGAGAGGTCTGTGCTGAACTGGTGGAGTGCTGCGAGGTGACGGCTGCCAGGCTGGCTGGCCGCAAGCCGCTCTCTTGAAGACGATGACCCCAATAATGGGACAACACGAAGCGCACACTGGGCGAGAACAAAAGATCCCCTCATCAGTCACCACCTCAGCGAGGAAGAATGTCTCAGAAATTGCTCACTCAATCCATCAAACCATCTTTGCTGTGGTCATTTGCCAACCACAGTTCTCTCGGGCAAAGTTTGCCAGAACCTTGGGAGGAGGAGGTCGGAGAAGCTGAGACCCAGGGGCGCCACAGGCGCTGAGTGGTTGGCGGTCCCCTGTCCCACGGTGCATGGGAAAGTTTGAAGCAAGAAAACGAATCTCGGATAGGCCTAGTGCAAGTTCCACACCCACAACCCCTCTCGCATTCTCCACTCCAACCACGAAGCCTGATCAACCACAGTGCAAAGAACAGGATGTTCCTGACGCAATGAAAGGCTCCAGACAATCATGCGCAGGGCATTCCCGCAGTCTTTCAGCAGCAGGGCCTCCTCGAGATGATGATGTTGATTGGGAAAATCATTCCAACTAGAGCATAAGCGTCGTAGCACAGCTGCCTTTTTGCATAATGCATCTGGACTAATCGGTCTCCACTTCCATCCCCATAATGCTTTTCCCTCTCAACTTAGTTGAAGTGCTCAGCTTCCCCCAAGGTCGAAAACCTCTCTATAATATTGTCGGTTGCCCCTTCGCCCGCTCAGTTCTGGAGTCAGCCCCCTATCTGCCTGCCTCCCTACGTATCTCCCAATCATCCCCGTTCTATGTCTCTATGAGCTTGGGAACCCTCCTTGGGTTGGATTAATCCAGCGCGTGATTGTACGGCTGGTAAGGATGGTAATAGATTTGGTTACTATGACGTGACTGCAGCGCCTGAACGCATAGCCTCTGACCACAACTTCTCCGTCCATTGTGCAATATTCTTCCATTGTACTGAACTATAACCTCCTTTGACTCTTTACCCAGCATAATCCCTCGCCGTGAATCTCATTCCTATATAGTTACCTCAGCCCAACGATAACCATCGTTTACGCTGCAAGTTGTTGTCCACTTTGTACTTCGGGTTGGAAACCAGCTCTCGCCGATGACCCTACTTTTCTAACGACATTCATTTCCAATCTGCCACCAAAAGGACAGTCCCGTCCCTCCTCATGAACTTGTCTAGTGCGACGGTGTCAGCCTTGCACTATCCTTAAAATTCCCATCATGACTACCGAATGGGCCCTGGACTTCTGTTTGGTCTGCGACCGACAAACACTGGGAGGGCCGTATTGTTCCCAATCGTGCAGACTCGCTGAACTCGATGTTTTACATAAACCCACATCCGCATCAACACGGGAGTTAAGAGCGGCGCTCAGCAAAAGCCCCAGCCACGCGGGGCGTTGTCTTACTACCAACCCGACTTCCAGCACAACTCAAATCTTGTTGCCGAACTCTTGCCGACCACATTATCCCAGGACATTGTCACCGTCCTCGTCGCAAACATCGTTGTCTTCTCTCCGCAGCTACTCGCCACATGGCTCCCCAATATCTTCGCAATCCCAGACTGAACTACGTGACTACGCCAGCTGCTTTGACCACGTTCGTGACCTTAAGAGACGTCTCACGTCATGAATTCACTGGCCAACCTGGGATCCTAGTGATTACTTGTGATGTTTTATCCTGGGACGAACATCTCAACTTTATCCCTACTCTAGACTACCCACTGCCCAATCCTGTTTCTATAATTTTACCGCGATATACCCCTCATTTATTCAAATTCCATTGTTTGTTGTTTTAAATTAGAACGTGTGACATCTTCCTCGCTGTCAATGTGGTACTGGAAATTGGACTGATGAAGGCAATGCCAGAATGACGAAAACGACCTACCTAAACCCCCCTCTCCCCCCAAGAAAAAAAAAAAAAAAAAAAAAAAAAAAAAAAAAAAAAAAAAAGAAAGGCCACTGGAGATTTGGGTCGGAAATTAATGTTGTTACCGGTTGCACTACAGCGTAGGAAATTTTGCAAACGGATTCAATGCATTGCTGGNAAAAAAAAAAAAAAAAAAAAAAAAGAAAACAACCAGAGAAAAGAAAGGCCACTGGAGATTTGGGTCGGAATTTAATGTTGTTACCCCACGCAAAATAATATGGGAAATTTTGCAAACGGATTCAATGCATTGCTGGGGATTTATACTCGTACAGTGGCATTTCCTGATGAAGCGATTTACTTTCGAGGCTATTCCTTTGCTATGAGTTCGAATATTTGCAGTCTGGAGTTGCTTTGGCGCTTGTGATGGATAGGATGGTGTTTCAAGGGTTCGGCTGGAGATACACGTGCCATGGGATTATAAAGAAACAAGTCAGAGCTAGAGCTATATTGGTCTGCATCGTACTGTGGACGAAATCGTGGATATGTATTCATTTTGTTGTTAGATTTCACAATTCAGTTTTATTTAGACAAGCCAATCCGAGTAGATTTTGGATGTGTAGTCCAGAACTATCGGCCTTTTCGTACTGCCGTATATAAATATAGGGTTTTCAACAATATAATCATTTGGATTCAACATGAATGCTCTCAGGCGGGGATTGCCAGCAGTACCGAACTTTCCAAACAAAGGACTCAAATAGGGTAAATTCATTAAGCCAAGGCTCTGACAAGCACTGCCTCATTTTTTGGAACAAAATTCACCTTGTACTTTTTTGGAATCGCCACCAAACTCGACGGGTCGGAGTTCCCCTTCACAGGATGCCATTCTACCCTTTCGCTGGTTGGTTCAATGCGAAAGCTGCTGAGGGTACGTATGAAGACAAGATACAGCTCACGATTGGCGAGAAGTGAACCAGCACACATGCGGTAGCCCATACCATAAGTAAACATTGGCGCATCGGGTTGCTCGAACCAGCGTTCAGGTCTGAATTCATCCGGATCGTTCCAGACTTCAGGATCTGTTCGTTGGGCCGAAGAAAAATAGCAAGTTAAACCATATTTTCACGTTGCACGATGGCTAGAAGCAAAGTTCAGGAAGGGAAAGTCACATACCCATGTTACAGGCCCAAGAGTTGAGAAAGAAAACGGTACCCTTGGGGATCACCTTCCCCTCATACGTAATGTCTTTTATTGATGTTCGCGGCAGTGCAAGACGAAGGACCGTATAGTATCTGAAGTAAATCAGTTAGCTTTGCTTTCAATGTAGCTATCATGAAGGTGTAATGGTGGTGTACTGACCTGAGGCATTCTCTGACCAGCGCCACGATATATGCGCATTTTTGGTCATCCGTGCAGTCACATAAGGGCTGATCCTCACGGTAGAATTCCTTGATTGCCTTTGCAGCCTTGTCCTGAATATCGGGGCGTTGAGCCAGGAGAGAAATACTCCAGGCAACAAGGGTGGTGACAGTGTCTAGGCCGCCAGATAGCATGGTCAAACTGATAGAAGTAAGCTCCTCCGAGTTTAACTTAGCTTCCTTGTCAAGAATCACGTTGGCCTGAATGCAAGGCTTGTGAATACCCTTCTCCATCCGATCGTCTAGGTCACGGTTGAGCGAACTAAGATACTTGTCACGCCGGTTTCGCATTTCTTTCGCCTTGTGGGAGTTTGTGTTGAAGGGGTTTAGACGTAGAAGTGGTATGTAATCCTGTAGATTACCCGTGGTGCTTCTAAATCTGCTAATCTCCTCCTCAACCTCAGTGATTTCGTCAAAAAGCTCCTCCTCTTGGGACGCAACTCGCACCCCCCAGTTAAGAGTGAGGGCAAGACTTAAGCTGAGTCGCTGAATCATTGCCATGGGGTCAACTGGTGTTTTCCCACCATTTCCATACTTATAAAGCTCGGCCACAAATGCTTTAGACTCAACATCCAAATGAGATACATACGAATCAACCGAAGGCCGGTTGAGGGCTGAGGCTGCGCCCTTTCTGCGTCTCTTCAGCGACTCGCTATAGGGAGAGGTACCAATAGTTGTACCAGCTGTGTTCGAAACGATCTGAGCATCACATAATAAGCAACGGCCCTGGACAGGGATCAAGTAGAGGGGAACAGATAGTGAAGCGATTCTGAACTCACTTTATGAAACGTATAGAATTCTGGTCTGGAGCTTAAAGCCTGAGCATTATGCCCAAAGAGAACTTTTGCGGATGCAGCAGAATTAATAACTATGACGGGGATATTTCCGAGTTGAATCTGATAGACGGGCCCGTATGTCTTTGACCAGATACGATATTGTTCGGCTGCATTCTCCCGGATTTGGGCGAGGTTACCGATCAGAGGCAGCCCACGAGGACCCTTAAAGCCAGGGATGCGAGCCGAAGCCCGGGCAAATTCATTGATAACAACATAAAGGATCGGGACGGCGAAAGCAACTATAAGTAATGATTGCAGGGGATATTCGACGACTCTACCGTTGACGAGGGACAATGCTTCTGCGATAGCCATTCTGCTGTGATTTTCTCTGTCCTCTGCTTTCCTTGTGGTATGCTAGAGCTTGTTGCGTTCAGAGTGACCACGGTTGTTCGTGCGCCATGTAGATATAACCTGAAGTGCCTTCCACTCCTGTGCGAGATCACTTCGCAAAGATCCGCCTCGAGAGGAACTTTTCCGCCTCATAGAGCGCTGGGAAAAAAGCTCAGAGCACCGAGCCCCACCCCGCATTCACCTACAATTTGGGGTGAACTGGGGTAATCCAGTCGAGTCTTGGAGATGCACGGTTCGTGATTCGCCACTGCGACACCTTCCTCTCACAAGAGGAACCGAGAGCATTCCGCACCCCGGAACGATTTCCGCCCAGCTCATACTTTGCTGTAACATAATTTGATAGTTATAGTCTCATGGCTCCCGCTAAAAGCCAGATCTATATGTTTCTATTCCTGAGTTCATTAACTATTCATCTTCTCATGGGGCTGGCCACTCCTATATAGGAAGCACAATAGGGAGTTGAAATGAAATAAACTAACCGGTCCGAAAGAAGAAGGGTGCAGAGGAGGGATAGATGGCAAGCATTTTCATAAACCGCCTTTGCCAAAAAGGTATATTCTTACCTCATTAAATTGACCCTGCAAAGAGCTAATAGACCTGCGAGTAAAGGGGTACATGGGATAGTCTGCAGATCCACGTAGGAACATTACAAAGTGAACACACAAGGAAACATGTCAGTACACCGTACAGTACCTCCCTCCCCGAGTAAAAGTCCTCAAAGGCGAACCACGAAGTTAAGCGGCAGATATTTAACAGACGCATATACTATCAGCTGTTGGCGCCCAAAGCCATACATTGGAGAACCAGGAGGGTCTGTTTTGCCTGATGGGTATACGAGGGTTGCGCCTTGTTAAATGCGAGAAAATACAGATTCTCGAGGCTTTGAATTATGGTGAATTATCGAAGACACCTTTGATCGAACCCAACAATGATAGTTAATTGTACGTATTAATATTGATGATAAAGCCTCAAAAAGCCGGCGCGTCAGATGACTCAGCTTCCTGCTGAGTGCTGAGGGCAAACTAAGTAAGTGGCGTTGAGGCTCGAGCTTCTATTGTGACTTGTGAGCCACCGCGGTTTAAACTGGGCAATGAACTGAAAGGGTTGTTTCTCTCAACTATGTCCCTGCGAGGCGCCGAAAGAAGAGGAATAACAACAATTCGTTACGGAGTACATCTAAATTTATAACATAACACCTGCACTTCCAAGGTGATAGTCAGTGGGTCGCATCCTCAATAATAATACAGGGCCGGATGCACGACTTGGAGATCATCTGCGAGGTTCAAAAAGGCGCTGCCCAGGCGCCTGAACTTGTCGCCCATTTAAGGACTGCAGGTGAAGAGCCTCGGAGTCTCGGCCACAAATGAAGGGGCGTGTCTCGACAGACCTGCCTTTTTGAAAGCAGCCGACTGATCACGGGATGATCAAATTTTTGATTGTTCAAATCTTGATCGCCTGGGTGATTTCTTGTTGTTGTTAGCCTGTTCCTGGATCCTGGCCCTTGGAATCTGGACTCGCGCTCCGAAAATCTTTTGCAGGTCACATGGAGGTTGGGGCACGTTGAGCGGGTTATCTTGCTGTTTCCTTGCCCTGGATGCCGAGTGCCTGATTGGTGGGACATTCTGGGTTGACGGCGTCAGCCCGTCATCGCTCCACTGCAATTGTGCTCCAATAGTCGCATCTTTTGGAACTGCTGGAACTTGGCAGTCTGAAGGGGTCAACCGGACACTGTTCACGCGGCGCCGGGAAAACGTCATGACGCGGTATAAGAGAATGGAAGGTTACCCGGCCACTTCCATCATGACAGCCTGTGCTCTCCTCGTCATCAGCTGTCGACTCCCTCATATGTCCCTGTGTATCCCTCACAAACATTCATTCTTATTTCTTCTCATCACGACAATTTGTTGATTCTCCCCTCCGACCACGCCTCCCTTCCTTAGGGGCGCCCGTTCTGACGCAATTGTCCCTGCTCGTTTCATTCTCGCGAGGTATGGACAGCCCGAACTAATCCTTTGCACATTATCGTTGTCCTCGCAAATTGGCGCCGCCTTTTTCCTCTCGAGGTAGAATTGCAATTCTAACCTATTTTCCTTAGATAAATTTTGGGCAATACTTCGCGCGTACCACTTTGATAAGTCGCGTACGCTGGACATCTCCAGTGGACTGATTGCGCAATCTTTTTTGCTTCAGCGACAAAGAAGCATCGGCTGTTATCAGAGCAGCTAATTGGTGACCCTTTGTTTCTCACACTTTTCTTCCACGATGGCCTCGCGTAATTCTCGCAGAATTCTGCGACCTCTCCTCTATACTTCTGCCGCAGCTACTGTCGGTGCAGGCGCGTTTTACTTCTCATACCGGCCCCGCAACATTCCCGGACTCGAAGCGCCTGCAGTTCCACCGCCGGGATACCATGAAGGCAAACTTGTGCCTCCCAGCTTTCCGAAAATCAAGTCTCGATTGGAACAAATACAAGATCTCAAACGCAGCTCTTCCGGTGATGCGGAAGTGTATGATCTTCTTGTGATTGGTGGGGGTGCTACAGGATCTGGAATCGCACTCGATGCGGCAACACGTGGATTGAAAGTTGCTGTTGTTGAAAGAGATGACTTCAGTGCTGGAACAAGTAGCAAGAGTACTAAGCTTGTCCACGGTGGCGTGCGTTACCTGGAAAAGGCAGTTTGGGAATTGGACTACAACCAGTTAGTTACCTGTCTTTTTGTTTTTTGTTTTTGTTTTCCCCCCTGATTCCTTTGGGGTTTTTGAGTCAAGCCGAAGTTAACCTGCTTAATCCTGCTGCCAGGTACAAGCTGGTGAAAGAGGCTCTAAGGGAGCGCAAGTATTTTCTCAACACCGCTCCTCATCTTTCTAGTTGGCTTCCGATTATGGTTCCCGTACAGAATTGGTGGCAGGTCCCTTACTTCTGGGCCGGTACAAAATGTTATGATTGGTTAGCTGGCTCAGAGGGAATCGAGAGTTCCTACTTCTTGCCGAAGAGTAAGGCCATTGAGGCTTTCCCCATGCTCAGAACGGATAACGTTCTTGGTGCCATGGTTTACTACGGTATGTGTCGGGCTGTCTGAGGCGTCAAAAATGATGTGCTAATATTGTAGATGGTGCCCACAACGATTCCCGGATGAACGTTTCGCTCGCGATGACTGCCGCGCTGTATGGTAGCACTGTTGTCAACCACATGGAAGTCACCGGCCTGACAAAGGATGCGTCGGGAAAATTGAATGGCGCTCGGCTTCGTGATTGTATCCCTGGAAAGGATGGTAAAGAAGCAGAAGAAATCCCAATCAGAGCTAAGGGTATCATAAACGCCACCGGCCCATTCACTGATTCAATTAGAAAGATGGATGAGCCCGACGTCAAGGAGATTGTGGCGCCTAGCTCTGGTGTCCACGTAATTTTGCCGGGCTATTACAGCCCTTCCAACATGGGTCTCATCGACCCGTCCACTTCTGACGGCCGAGTTATTTTCTTCCTTCCTTGGCAGGGAAACACGATCGCCGGTACTACGGATGCTCCCACGGAGATCACCGCACAGCCCCAACCATCTGAAGAGGATATCAACTGGATTCTGTCCGAAATTAGAGGTTATCTGGCTCCTGATATCAACGTTGGCCGAACCGATGTGCTTGCTGCGTGGTCCGGAATCAGGCCTCTTGTGCGGGATCCTAAAGTGAAGAGTTCGCAAGCCCTGGTTCGCAACCATCTCATCTCGGTTTCTCCCTCTGGTCTTTTGACTTGCGCCGGAGGAAAGTGGACTACTTACCGCCAGATGGCCGAAGAGGCTGTTGATGAGGCAATTAAGGAATTCGATCTCAAACCTCGTGAGCTGCACAATGCTCCTGATATCAGTGGTGTTGGCGGACGCGGCCTGGTTGCCGACCATGCGTCACTCGACGGTTCATGCCAAACCCACCAGGTCCGCCTTATCGGGGCTCATGGCTGGTCTAAGACTCTCTTCATCAATCTCATCCAACACTATGGTCTTGAAACTGAAGTGGCCAAGCATTTGACAACCTCCTACGGAGACCGCGCATGGCAAGTTGCCGCATTGTCCTCCCCAACTGAAACACGTTTCCCTGTCCGTGGTGAGCGTATCTCAGCCCTCTACCCTTTTATTGATGGCGAGATACGTTTTGCCGTTCGCCACGAATATGCGCAGACAGCAGTGGATGTTATTGCACGGAGAACCCGTCTGGCATTCCTCAACGCACAGGCTGCCCTGGAAGCGCTTCCTACGGTAATCGACTTGATGGGCGAGGAACTAAACTGGGACACAAGCAGAAAAGACCTCGAGTGGAAAGAGAGTGTACAATTCCTTTCATCAATGGGTCTAGCCCCGAACCTCCTTAACGTGACCCGAGATCAAGTAGAGGGTGGTAGGGTCAAACAGTTGCTTGTCAGCGAGCGTGGTGCATTCACAAGAACAGGTGGGTTCAAATTGGACCCTGATTAACGTGACCGTTTTGGTGCTAATATCTTTCACAGAACCTCCTGCTGACGTACTTGCTCATAACCCTGCCCTGGATAGCGAGGCGCAAAAATAGACGCTACCGACATCCAACACAACACTTTGTCATAGATAATAGAAATTGTAATTTATTCTGGATACTCGAATCAGGGCTCCGTGCAAGGTAGCACTCTGGAAGTATATGTTTTTATATTTATATCTATATTCGAATTCTGGTGATGGTATTGAATCTACAAGAGGCCTCATTCACGTTTTTCATGACGAAGCTACGGCACTGGGTGTGGACTTCTATGCAATCTCTATGGAAAGTGTTTGATGCGTTTAGCTATTGAAAAAGAATCCAATTTTTCATATCGGGTGCCCTTCGAACTGGAACTCCTCTGAGCCTCAGTCCTGAAATAGCCAAATAGGAGACTTCACTGGAGTGGGCCGCGGGGGAAATTGTGACGTATTAAGCCTGCACTAGTGCCACGTCGACAGGTGTCAGATAATTATGACATATCTACGTGAAAATAATAACTAATAGAAAGAGTACCCTGTGGTCTGACTCTACACCATAATGAGCACCTCAATATTCGCCGCCGGCCCAGCCTCCTTTACCTAGCCCCCCTATTATTTCACGCTGATAATGAGCACTTCGTTCAGGATTTGACCCATCCATCCATCCCAGGGACCATTCCAAGTTGCTCGGCAATGATGTATCAAGAGCGATTGGAATGTAAAGGGGGGGCGGCACTGCCCGAGTTATTTCGCTCTAGAACAGATCATCTCAAGTAAAAAGTTGAGAGGAAAGTACTCAAGAAGAATGATCAGAGTGACAAAGCCAGAACGGCCACTAGTTACCGAGACAAGAGCAGAATAAGAGCAGGGCCGGCCAATGCAAATTCAGCTTCCATCCTGGGATTATTAATAATAGAACCTATGTAATTTTTTTTGTAGAGACCGAAAGAGACGAGAAGAAATGAAAACGCAAAGTGAAAACCCCCCCCGAAACTCCGCCCTATACATTATAAAACGCAGCTTTGAACAGCTGCTTTATTAAAGATGCCAAAAAAAAAAAAAAAAAAAAAAAAAAAAAAAAAAAATTCTCACTAGGTCGAGGAAGGATTAAGAATCTCAAGTCCGGACCAAAAACAGGATTATACCGTGGTAAATGCGCAGCAAATTAGTCGGAGACTACCAGAGCCTGTCCGATACCGATAATATAAGCACGCTCTCTTCAGCAATTCGAGGACAAACCGACCGCCCAATCGGACAACAAGGGCGAAGGTAAAAAAGGCGTCGCTGGACTTCCGATAGTGGTGAAGAAATAGTAGGTAGGGAGGTAGGCCATTGCTATGACTTGCCCTGTTTAGAACCCGACGGCCCTTCTGAATAGTTGTCCCAAAATCGGGCTACCGCTTTCCGAACTGTTTCCTTGTTTTTCGCGGTTTTCTCGTAGTGTTGCCGGTAGTAGTTGAAGAGTGCAAACTCATGTCGGTTGAGCAAGTAGTTTGGGCTCGCCTCAACCTTCCGCCATAGAGTGTCGCGAGCAGATGCTAGAATTTCTCCATCCCGCCCTTCGAGAGCGGCTTTGTCGCCATTCCTAGCTGCATTTAACGCCCGCATATAAACGGGTTCGTCATCGGATGATGTTGGGTTGGCCATTTAAGGTACGGTATAGTAGGTATGCGATAATTGGACAACACTGCCGTTGGCGGATAGGTCGCTGTGATTGGACAAAGTTAAGGGAAAAAGAAATAAAGAAAGCAGCCCAGGGTTTATGAAGTTAGGAAGGAGGTCTTGAGCAGAAAAGGAAAAAAAGAAAGGAAGAAGAATAATCGATGGGAAATCCTGGTGGGCATGGTTCTTTGCAGGCCCCGAACCTTGCCAAATTAATGCAATGAAGGTGGAGCAGGGGTAGTGTGGGCAAATCGTGGATCGAGTTCTTTTGTTACAGGAACACGGCGGTATGAGAGGGAGGAAAAAATCACAACGATTTTGCTGGGATTCAGGAAGTTTTTGAAAAAATTTCTCCCTGCAACCCGCTTGAAAAAAAAAGAGGGGTCCGCCGACAATTTCTCGCTAAATCATGCAAAATGCAAGTGCTGCTGCCACGAGAGAGATTGAGGGATGAACGGAATACGGACACTTGATCTTGATCCATACCATGTCATCAATGGAGAATCCTCGGGAAATAACAGGAGCAAGCGCTCTGTTCCTCCAGAATCTGAGCCTCTGTGAATGGCCATGTGGCAGGTGGGGTTTCGTACGGGCTCACCCGCTGGAGCAGCGCCTCGCCAGGTCCTTAATAAGGCCAAGTATCATCCTTGGCGTAACGGTTTTGCGAGTGTTTTGGGAAAGGCTCCAGATCCAAACGGGTGTTTGAGATGGACTCGGGTTGGTCGAGTGTGGCCCCGGTGGTCTTGGTGTGAAACTGGGAAATGTCGTGGGCCGCTTTCAGAAGGGCTATCGGCGCTCCAGAATGGTGTCTGATCGGCCAGTCTTGTGATTATTGACCGGCATCATGGTTGATTATTATTGTGCATGCCGGGCTGCACACCTGGAATGTGGCACTAATGCTTGATTGTCCCTCCCACGTTGAATTTGTGGACAGCGGACAGGTCATGCCGCGTCGCCTCGGACCCAAAGCCGGTTTGACTCGGCGTGTGGGCTCTGGACGGGCCATGAGTATAGCCGAACGCAACCCAAACTCCCAAAGGATCAGGAATAGTCAACTAGGGAAAGTATAAAGGAACCAGACAAAGTGTATTTTGCTCAGCTGGTGGTAGTTGGAGAAATGACTGGAGCAGAGGACGCGGACAATCTCCCTTGTCCATTTCCAAGTGGAGCGACAGGGGGGAGCTTTTCCGTCTCCCAGAGAAGTGCCATCAGTCCAAACTCCAAATGACTCGCATATCCCAAGGAGCTTTTTGGCCTATCATGTGCTTGCCCGGCCGCTTCCAGAGGAGGAACTTCCATCGGCTCAGCCGGATGTGGTGTGTCAGGCTGTCTTCGCACCGGCTTATGCATAATGAGGAGCGGTGCATCAAGTCCAACTTGGGAAAATTCAGCCTTCTTTCAGGGATCAACCCTGCTCTCCGAGGTGGGCAACTCGAGATACCGCTTGTGGCGCCTGGTACTGGTGCTCTGTCGGCCGGGTACTTTTGTTGCCGCCAAAGTACGCCGTTGTGCCCAAAATACCCAGCATGGAGCCGTTGTATACTCTGTCCCCGGCTCTGCAAGCCTCCACGTCGTTCCCAGCCTGACATTCGTGACCGAATTGTAACATTGTCTGAAATTATTATTATTACCTTTTTTTGGCCCTCGAAAACAGCTTTTACTGAGTCAATGCACTGCTTTGTCTGGTTCGCGACATTGTAGCTTGATGCCGGGAGTGCTCGCTCTGTAAATGTGGCATTATGGATGGTACTTGTCAATATTCAATTGTCTAACTATATTATTGTTTACTTTCGAGTCCCTACACTTGGGGTTCTCGGCTACGAACCAAAGGCCCCTCCTCATATCTTAAACTAGGTACGGGGTAATTTCCCTGAGGCTTCGGAGAATTCGTATTTCGTAGCCGTCAACACTACAATGTTTCGACCTCGTGCTTGTTCTCTGGTATCAAACTATCCTCTTCACTAACACTCAAGGAAAGAGTTTGGCCATACTCATGCATTTATAACACGCACTCATTCGTCCATCTGAACGGAGACCTTGATGAAACCAGAAACTATCCGTTGAAGTTTACACAAGTTAAAACAGCGACAACCATGGTAGGTAGGGTAGAAACCAGGAATTTGCTTCAACGGACTCCTCATTCATTTTACCCTACAAATGAGGGGGAAAAAGCCTCCTAACAACAACAATCATAAGGCTAGGTGATGTGTGGTATTTACTGTTGTTGCCTGTGTTTGAGCGAGTGTTGTCGAGGTACCTGAAGAAGCCTGGTACGTACAGTCAGCCGAAGCTCTGGGCAACGCGAGCATCCAACCGCGCTAGTGATGTTGACAGCTATGGCCGCCCGTTGCCTTCAGGAGATAAAACAACTCGACTTGATCTTCAAAAATTCCCCATTGTTGGTGAAAAGCGATAAAAAAAATGCCTGAGGGTACGTCATAAATGGGAAATTATCATATTCTCTCTTTATTTTGCAACAATGTTCACTCTAACTAGAGCCTCTATTTAGGCGGAAAATCCAAGAACAAGAAAAAGAACAAGGTGCAGGCCCAATCTGACGCTTCCGATGCGAGCACCTTGAAAGCCGATAGCAGAGAATCCGTGGAGAATAATGTAATAATACACCGAAGATCGCTGTTGCCTCATGATGCTAAGTCTGTATGATAGGACCAGCCCGAATCGACCGAAGACAACAAACAGGAAGAGACAGAAAATGGGGAGGATTTGGATACTGGCTCGAATGATGGGCTTGTTGACGATGAACCAGGCGACTCAAGAGCCAAATCACCTATCCTAGAGGCTCTCCGATCAAAAGATCGTTTTGACGCCCTTGTAAAAGACAGAGATTCGCTACGTGCCGAAGTGACCGATATGCGTAAATCCTTGGAACTGATCCAGTCGAAACATCATGATGATATGGAGGCTCTACATGGCAAATTAGAAGACGCAGAGAGCAAAAAGGAGCACGCAGAATCCCAGTACCGTGGGTTGCTTGAAAGAGTGAACACAATCAAAGCCCAGCTTGGTGAGCGTCTCAAAGAAGATGCCGTACGTACAATTTGTGGTTACTTCTTCCAAATCTTGCGCTAAGTAACACATCACAGGAAGAAATCGCTCAAGCGAGGTCGAAGATCGAGGACTTGGAGGCGCAAAACTTACGCACGAAGGAAGAGTACGAACCAAAGGTATTGGAGCTGTCGGATGACAATCAACGGCTGTCAAAAGAGCTGTCTGAACTACGCGAACGAACAAATCTGTCGCAACAAAATTGGTTGAAGGAGAAGGATGATATTCTCGAACAAGAATCATATCTTCAGTCGGAGTTTGAACAAGCAAAGGAGGCGATGCATAACTGGGAAGTGCTTGCCATGGAAGAACGTTCAATCAGGGAAAGCTTGGGAGAAAAAGTAATAGATTTGGAGGAACAACTGGCTACTGTGAGAGCCGCATACGAGAAGACTTCTGCTGAGCATGAATCCCAAGCAGCGACCGTGGATGGTTTGCAACGAGCCCTGCAAGAAATCCAGGCCGGTAAGCGGCCCCGTCCAAGGGAAACCGTTTCTATTGTGCCCACTAACTTATTGCAGCACGCAAGCAAGAGCTTCGTGAACTCGTTGAAACCTCTGATTCTCAGCTCGAGGAACTGAAGCAGGCGTTGAACGATGCTAAAACAAAAGAATCAGATTCGGGGAAATCCCTGCAAGAGATTCAACAGGAACTTGAGAGAGTCCGGCCTTTTGAGAAGGAGGTCAGAGAGAAAAACCTCCTAATTGGCAAATTGAGGCATGAAGCAGTTACCCTGAATGACCACTTGACAAAAGCGCTGCGATTTCTCAAGAAGGGCAAACCAGAAGATAATGTTGATCGGTACGCATCTCTATGTCTCCCCATCTGTTGTCTACTAACGACCTACGAATAGTCATATTGTCACAAATCATCTACTGCACTTTCTCGCACTTGATAGGTCAGATCCGAAGAAGTTCCAAATATTACAACTTATTGCGGCACTCTTGGGGTGGTCAGACGGTAGGTAGCAAACAAAGTTTTGAACCTGGAAATGAGACTGACACCCTCTAGAGCAACGTGAGCAGGCAGGTCTGGCTCGTCCCGGGGCTGCAGGGGCCTCCGGCAGGCTTCGGGTCCCCGGCACCCCCATGCATCGCACGCCTAGTACACCAGCTTTAGCGACTGAGTTTCTGGACAATGGCGTCACGAGCAAGGAGTCTCTAGCAGAGCTCTGGTCAAACTTCCTTGAACAGGAGTCACAGGCCTCTTCTCAGGATAATAACCAATTGGCCAAGTGAGGTTGACGGTATATATTAGCGTCCACCCGCCGCTAATCACACCAATAAACTTATATTATACTGATCGTACGAGATATGGACCCCTACCTCACCACTACTTTTGCTAGTTATTCCCCGTATGTATCTATGCTGAAAGCGGCCAAATTTCGTTTCGAGGCTAGGCTCAGTCCCCCAAGTCACACCGCCTTCTACAGATGACCCGACCGTAAAAACACATAGAATCGCAATTCAGTCCCCTATTAAACAGGCATCAGTATATGCATCCAACGTTTTCGAGGCTCGGTGGGTTTTCGTCGTTATCTTTCAGTCGTCCGGCATTTGCACCCCGTTTCCCAATAGCTACCATGGCTTCTACCACTGCAGGTACGATCCCCATTTCACACAAGGCTCGCTATGATATACCTCTTCACTAGGAAGCAATCATAATAACCAGCAATAGTCCAAAGGTTTCGCCCCGTGGTGGTGTCAGGTCCCTCCGGAACCGGCAAATCGACATTACTAAAGAGACTTTTCGCCGAATTTCCCAACACCTTTGGCTTCTCTGTTTCTCGTTCGTGAATCTTCCTTATTTCGACGCCCGAAAATCCTCAGGGGATTGATCTGACGTAGTGCCAGACACAACTAGAGCCCCTAGGCCTGGCGAGCAACATGCGCGTGAATACTACTTCACCACAAAAGAAGACTTCCTCGACCTCGTGAGCAAAAACGGCTTTATCGAGCATGCTCAGTTCGGCGGGAACCACTACGGGACGAGCGTCCAGGCCGTTAAAGATATTGCTGCGAAGGAGAGGATTTGTATTCTTGACATTGAGATGGAGGTTCGTTTGCCGCTTTTATTCGCCCGGAGTAAATTCGCGCGATAGTTTATGAATCAGAAGACTAACTACTATGCTGCAAATACGAACAGGGCGTGAAACAAGTTAAGAGGACTGATCTGAGTGCGCGGTTCCTGTTCCTTGCGCCGCCGTCAGTTGAGGAGTTAGAACGGAGATTACGCGGTCGGGGGACTGAGACCGAGGAGAGTTTACAAAAAAGGTTGACGCAGGCGAAGAACGAGCTGGAATATTCGAAACAGCCTGGTGCACACGATAAGGTCGTCGTCAATGATGATCTGGAGACCGCCTATAAGGAACTGAGGGATTATATTATTGATGGTGGGAAGTTTGGGGCCGCGATATAACAACTGCAGCGAAGTTTTTCGAGAAGCTAGACGTGATTTTATGAGTAATGTTGTTTAGAACACCTACACATATCTAGCTAATTTTGGCTATTACGTATAGAAAGTGCCGAAAAATATATTTAGAGATAGATTTCCCTTGAATCTGTTAATTAAGGAAATTAGGTACATGAAACGACCAGATCGACGCTAGCGCTCTCATGCTAGTTCTCTTTACGGTGTGCGCAAAACGAAATCGTAGGAAACCGAGGTAATCCCAGCCGTTCTCCCTGTAAGCGGAAAATGATAACAATAAATATATGGAAAAAGCTTGGAGTTAAAAAGGGATATCTGTAAGCATGCTGGTAAGGAAGTGGATGGTGACACGGGTTTCGGTGGTAAAGAATAGAACGAAGCGAATCCTGAGAGGACTGTCTTCGGAGTCAGTCTTTCGCCCCTGCAGGATCGCTGACACTAAAAGACAGTGCTTGTCAAGTAACGATTTTTTTGTTCCTCATCGATCCTCGCTCAGCTAATAGCCGTTCATCGTCACTCGCTGCGAGTTGCGGCTGAGTTCCCTATCAGCAGAGGGGCTAATTGGCCGGCTGCCACCACTATGGCCACCTGCAGCGCTGCTCTCTTTCAAAGCAAGAAGTTGCTTAGCACGGAAGGTCTCGTAATGGATTTGGCTTGTCGTTTCGACGAGGTCCTGGAGGTGGGTACGGGTAAGGAAATTTCGTAGGGAAACAAATTCGCAGTGGCTCTCATCTTCCACATTGATAACACCCCAGCGGTTTTGGCGCCCGCGAACAGGTTGACCGTTGACAACAATGGTCTTTTCGCTTCCAACAACTGCAAAAGGAATTATATCCTGGTTGATCGTTAGATGAGATACCAAACTAGGGACCCACAGAAGTCCGAACCTTAATGCGGGCATTCACAGCACGCTCCTCATCGTCAAGTTCATCGTTATCATACGGATACATCTTGAGGTTGTGGAAGGCAAACTCCTCCTTGATTCGCTCCTTGAAGGTTTGACGCTCCTCGAGTGTAAGTGAGTCGGCCTTGGCGATAACAGGAACGACATTGACGACATCAGACAACTTTTTCAGGACGACAATATCAATAGGTTTCAGACTGTTTAGACAGATAGTTAGCGTCATTTTCTTCATGTGCTATATCGATCGTCCCATAAAACTCACGCATGGCCAGATGGCTGAATGAAAAACAGACAGCAGTGAATACGGGTATCTTGAATGTAGCGGTCACGTTGGGCAGTGAGCTCTTTGCGAAGGTAAGCGGAGTGCTGGTCCTTGATATATTTCACAATTGGATCCCAGCTGGTGATAAATTAGCCCAGTCACGGTAAGTAGGCGACAAGTGTAGACTGTTACCATCTATCATTGTTGACTTGATCACCGTATCCAGGAGTGTCGACAATGTTGAGTCTGAGACGGACGCCATTTTCCTCGATGACTATGATTTGGTTAGAGAATCCAATCGTTAACAGCACGGGGATTCCACATACTATGGGAAACAGTTTGGATCTCGGTGGTCGAGCATACGGGTTCGTTGGGGGTCAAACGACCCTTTGAATCGATCAGGTGGGAGGCGAAGATGGTGTTGATCAGAGTAGACTTTCCGAGACCAGTCTGGCCTGTTTATCAGTTTAGCATCAAGCACATCTGGCCAGATTAAAGAGAACTCACCAACACACATAACATTGAACTGAAAGCCACGTTTCAGCAGCTTCCTTTCGATCTGGGAAGTAATGCTATCGAAACCGACATGGCTCCGTGGGAAGACCGCAGACGGGGCGGAGCTTGTAGTGGCCATGTTGGTGTAAGGGGGATCCGAAGACAGAGTTTCTCGGGCAGAAGGGGCAGTCAATGGAAGGAGTTCGATAGAAAAAATATAGAGGGAACAAAAGGTATCGGTGCAGCCCGCAGAGAGAAACAAGTCTTCGAGGGAGATCGGAGCCTTACCCCAAGAATAGAGTCAGCCTGGTATCAATTGAGAGGGAGGGAGCAGTCGTGATAGACCCCTTTAATTGTTTCGCGACTCAGGGGGGTTCTAGTCCCAGTTAGGCCTAGCGCCTCTCCGGATCCAAACCGAGCAAACCGCAGCCCAGGCCGGAGGTCGGTCGGGAAAAGCTTCAATTTGCAGCAGTTTGATGCACGCTCAGTCGCTCACTATTCCGTCTTTTTGAATACCTAGTCTATTATATCTAACGCTGTCTATCACCCTATTGACGTCGGAAAGCGAAACTAGGCCTGATACGATGGCTTTGCGACTGGTTTCTCCCAATCCGCTTCTCCAAATATTCCCTCGACTTGTTGTACCGTCGAAATCTCTGCCTCTTACCATCAGCCTTCCGTCACAACACCAAGTCTTTCTTTCCGCTTTTGTCCGACCGGTTGCTTTTGCTCTGAATGTTCCTGGGCTTTTATCCGATTTATGGGAGTCCGTTCTTCGAGCCGTTCCAAAGAAAAAGACGTCGCACATGAAGAAAAGACATAGGCAGATGGCTGGCAAGGCCTTGAAGGACGTCAGGAACCTTAACACATGTCCTGCTTGCGGTCAAATAAAACGCTCGCATGTGCTATGCCAACATTGCGTTGAAAGTATGGAAAAGCTGTTTTTATTTGTTTTTTATTTCAAATCACGAAACGTTCTAACAGGGGTTTTACTGCAGATATCAAAAAACAATGGGGAAAGGCTCAATTGTCGTGACTTGTACCTGTTGATCAAGAAAATGGGATGATAAGGACCCATGGGATGCCGGGGTTGAATACATGACCAAGATGTATTTGTATAGATATCATGTATGTCCATTGCATGGCTTTTCGGCGTTGGGTTTAGCAATAGGAATTATTTGTACTATATCTTGTATTGAACGAAAAACACTGAGATCAGAAATAAGTTGACTTGACCACTGGAATTGCGGTTGTGGAACAATTACTTATACTTCACCTACCGTCTTCGCTAAATAACGAGATTATTAGCAATAGTTCAAGTTGAATGACTTCTGTGTCCAGCCAATCGTTTGTAGCGCTGTATTTCTATAGTGTACGAACTGGGTGTAATTCACATTCGCCAAAAGTTAGACACCGTAGGATTATAGCGATTCAAAACTAATGGATGCGTAAACTCATAACGACGCAGGCTGGATCCTATTTCAAGACTTCGACGAATAGCTTTCGCATTCTTTTCAAAAAAGCGCCAAAATCGCGATCCTCATTTAGCATGTCTAGCTCCCGATCCAGAGAATGCCTGTCCAGTTTGGGTCGTGAATGAAATATTTCATAGTCGCGGTTCGAGGTGCCAAGTTCAAACCATGCTTCAGCCTCCCAATCCTTTTCCAACAGATGGCTATAGACAAATTTCAATCGGTCTTCCCTACCCGCGCCTTCAATCCGTAAGCATAGATAGTCCTGCCAGAATTCAAGTTCCGGGATATTTAAGCGTGCTTGGGCATCAAGATAGCGAGAGTGGCTTTTTTGTGCTTCCAGTTTTTGGTTGATGGCCTTTTGTGTCTCTTCAATTTGTTGCTTGAGCCGATCACGCTTTGCAAGACGCGAGTCACGCTCTAATATCACAGATGAAACAGCAGCATGCATCTCAGCGGCTTCAGCGGCCTCTTTCTGAAGGGTCTGTTCGTGTGTTTGTGATTTGAGGTTGAGAATTTCAATATCTCGTTGTCTCATACGCTCATCCTCTGTTCATCACCATGTTAGAAATGTCTAATTTTGCTTCCGCCTTCGCTGTCTTCAACTGTCGTATGGGGACTCCCACCTTGTAATTCAGCTAAACCGCTCTTGAACTGATTCCTTTCTTCCAAGACCTGCTTCCTGCCACGTTCAATAAACGCATCAAACTGAGCGGTGAACTGCGCCATGCGGCTGCGCAAATCTTCGAATCCAAAATTGATACTGGGAAGCGAGTCCGCCATTGAAGGTGCTGTCGCCGAGGCCAGAGGCGGCCGCATACCACTTGTCGAGAGCGAAGGATCAAACGAGGAGGACATGCTTAGATGCGACATTTGCTGGGATGTTTCAAAATGAGAAGCGCGATGTAAAGGGCTGTGTAGGTAGGTCGCATTAGACACTAAACGGAGAAGAAGTGATAATGGTGGTGGTTTGTTTCTGGTGTTGATGTTGCGGCGCAACCAAAGCTTGGCACTCCACACCTATCGCAGAAAAGTCATGGGGGACTGTTTCATTTTATCTCACCAGTTTCCTAACATTTTAGCCATATGAATTCACTCTGAACATCTGCTTGCGGCAGATGTGTGTACTATCTATGTGGAAAATAGTTCCCTATCGCACACCTTTAACTTGACAAAACCTGATCAGGAGACTATTAGTGCTCGATATGCTTACTGCGCCGGGACCTTTGTGTATCGCCAGAATCAAGCATAGACCAAATGGATGATTACTCGACGAAGCTTCTTCAGTATGGGCACGTGGGAAAGGCCATTTACCGACCGGAGAGCCAATCATGGGCATTTTTGCGCAGTATAGTGCCTCGTAAGTAGCCCGAGGAGTCCCGCCATTTACAGTTTTAACAGTTCGAGAAGAACAGCGCATATCGTACACGGGGTTGACGAAAACTGTTGTACGGTCGCCATCTACTCTGATCGAACGTCCATCAACACTAAAGCCATCAACGTTGTCTCGGGCATTCCCTGAACTTATCGGAGGATACCGCCTTGCGCGCAATGAAATACTATCGCATACCGTAACGGCAGTGACTGAAACATGCAACCCTCTGGTCTCCACACTCCTTGACTTTGGGCGCGCAATGGACTTGGATATTGACACTTCTGGACGTCGTTCGGTTGCTATCGTCGCATTTGCATCTGGAGAATGTGGCAATGCAATTTCTTTCCGGACAATAACTGACAATATGGTGGACTTAGAGCAACCCACAAGCACTCAATTGCGAGTCCCAACCATTGGAGATGATGATGGTACTGACTGGCTATCGGATGGGGCCCCTGTCCGACAAATTTGCTTTTCACATGCCGTAGAGGATAGGGCTACGTTTCTGGCAGTTCGTTTCTCATCCACGGTTGTGTTCAGGCCAGTTTATCGCAGGGCTGCTACCCCAATTTCTACCAGTCGGGGTAATGATCCTATGGCGCTCAAGTATCAGACTTCTTGCCTTGATCCGAATTTCTTGATAGAGATATCAACCTCGCATACAGGGGGTCTTGCCCATGCAGACGTGAAATTCAACCCCTGGAATCAGAATGAGCTTGCAATCGTTGATAATGACGGCAATTGGAGTATTTGGGAACTACGTAGCCAGCACAGGCGCAATAAAGATAACTGGGAAGCTGCATGTATAACATCAGGCACGCTTCCTTGGGTGGCCAACGAGGAAGGCCAGAACACAGGCACCAGTGGCCGCCATGACGGATGGTTAGCCATCGAATGGGCTGTCAACAAAGATCACGTCGTTGTCTGTGATCGAAGGTGTTCCATGCTCTACCGAACGAATGGCGACCGAGTGTATTCTTATTCGGTTGAGCTTGGTTTCAAAACCAAGTCTGAATGGATTCTGGACGTCAAGAGAAGCACTATTCACTCGTCACATGTGTTCATTCTCACAACATCCCGGCTTATTTGGTTTGATATAACCCTGGATTCGGTTTCACCCCATGAGGGTATGAGGCCTCCACTATTTCCCCGACTCTCCTGGCGTCATTTTCGCGATTCAGGCGATATAACAATGCATTTATCTCCCTTAGCGGTGGACAATGGTAAGCATCTACAGAATACATGGAATTTTCTGGCTGTGTTATACTGATATGGGCGGTGGAAGATTTTTACCTAGTATTGTTTTCTCGCCTCAACCACTTTGTGCTAGCATTTTATTGCTCTGAGCCTGAGGTTGTTGGTGATCCGGCATCCGCTCCAGACCCTTTCATTCTGTATGTGCCGCCAGTTTCCGATAATGCAGGCAATCCTGCCCCTCCCTCTGTTGGCACGCACTTTTCTACGCTTGCCTTCAAAAAAATCGTGGCAACGACTACCAGCGAGCAATATCTTGACCGTGAATTGAGATTTATCAAGGCCTTTGCAGTGACCTCAAATCTTCATGTGGAAGAGTCATTGTACTCGAAGTTCTCAACTGGTAATTTCAATGATGAGCGATCAAGCGGTCAAGATTTTCTACGCGCCAGACAGCTACGCATCGCTGGTCTGCGGAAGAAAATACCCAACTCCAGAAGTGATTTTGTAGTTGATGATTGGGACGAATCTGCGCCTGGTATTGTGCCAATCTCAGGGAATGGAACTGAGAGTATAGCTCCCTTAGCAGAGCCTCGATTTACGTTCGACTACACACGTATATACGCAATTGCGACGGGGCCGTCGAATTTGTTATCTCAGAATGGCGAAATGACGATTGAGGCCAGCTTTCAGGAACTGGTGAATAATGCCACTGCTCATGTTTCTTCAACTAGTCGGACTGCGTAGGTCATTTCTAGCTCTGAACTAGTATCCATGTGCTGACCGAGAAACATCTAATTAGGCTTGAAATTCTTCGAGGGTCGCTCGTGATAGACGATATAGACCAAAACGCTCGAGACCTAAACGCCTTTATTTCCCAGTTTGTCCCGAAGCATTCAACTATTGGGGCGAAGAGCCACCTGCTTGTTCAACCATATAATCATTTTATTTCGGGATCAAGGCCGCAAGTCACGTTAGCAGCGGGCCCGAAGCTGGACCTAGTTGCTATATATGACCGACTAGTTAATGATTGGCTCATAGATTTGCCTTCCGACACTCCTGGAAGGACCAGGGTCACGACAGAAAAAGTGATTCGACATTTTGTAGCTGATATTGTGCTGTCACAAATTCTATTACCGCAGAAATCGACACTAGTTGAACCAACGAGGAGCAATGTTGAGATCCCATCCACCGATTCAACCCGTGGGGCGGCCAACTCGTTAGAGCCTGCCGGCGAGCAGGGCTCATATGGCCCACTAGTGAAGTCTGTTGACAACAGCTTTCGACCGCAAGCCAAGACTACGACTACACGAGAAAGTTCATCACAAGGAACTTTTATGTTTCCCGAAGGCAACGCGGATGAATGGCCTACCCTCAAGGCACTGTCATCGTACACGACGTGGAACAGGACAGCCCCAATCTCTCCGGATGTGGAACGCATTCTTGACCGCTGGAAACCGGGAACCGAACCAGCGTCTTATTCACTAACATTGCAAGAATCACAATCAGCCACTGGGGCTTCAGGGCGTAAATCACGGAGGAAGGTACCGCAGACTTTGAAAAGTATGAGCCTTGATTCAGTCGTGCCCCCCGCCATCTCTTCCACTGTTCCTGTTTCTCAAAGGTACTGGGGTAGTCAGCTTGACCACGTTCAACCTTCAGCGATCTGTTTACAAAGCAGCCAGATCACCGACGAGCTTCCAATGACTCAAGTTGAGCCAGGGGTGTTCGGAGGTCGCGAAGCAAGCAAGAAAAGCAACATTAAGGCAAGGAAGAAGAAAAGAGCCGCTGGATTCTAGGAGACCTGCCAGAGTCCAAATTCTTGAATACTTTGGTAGTCTGTCTTATTGTAACTAATGCGAACGGAGTGTGCTTGAGTGGATTGGACGTCCCCCATGAATTAATAATCATTCAACCTTGAATTAGCTGATGACGTGATAATCGGAGAGTCTGAGCCATTTGCGTGTTTTGCTCTAAAGTGACGGGGACTACAAATGGCGGCCTTTCTCTCTTTGTGGAAACGAAAAAGCCTCCGGAGTTCCTATAAGAATAACCGATCTGTTAAAAAGCTTGCAGGTTTTGGCTGATTGTCAATTTGTCATTGACAGGGGGGTCCGCCTACTCTCACTCCACTTCTGTGTTGTCTGTCCGTAACACTCATCAACGAACCTCACCACACTTACAATAACTCGATTACCAACATAAGAGCGATGGCCGACCAAGAGCACCAATACAAATTCAACGTGAGCATGAGCTGCGGCGGCTGTTCCGGTGCAGTCGAGCGTGTCCTCAAAAAACTAGACGGTAACTACCCAGAGCTCTGTCCTTCTGCCCCTCCTCAACAAACCCCGATGAGAGGGGCCACCCTACCACCACAATAACAGTCGAGATCGCAATTCTGACACAACGCGTATGCTAGGCGTAAAATCCTTTGACGTGAGCCTTGATTCCCAGACCGCGAGTGTTGTAACCGATGACACTGTCCCTTATGAGACGGTTCTCGCGACCATCAAGAAGACAGGGAAGACTGTGAATACCGGCGAAGCAGATGGGCAGGCTCGGGATGTTTGATGCGTGCCTGTGACCTCTGGGTCCACACATGACGAACGCCTACGGCTATTACGATGGAGTAGATAAATGATTTAATGAGTGGCCAATATGTACATACTTTTGGCAAGGAAATGAACTGCACCCAACGAGAAATGGACGCGTCCTTGCTCCCCCAACGGCCCAAAGTCAAGTTTGTACCATATTTCGTACCTCGTCTCATGTTACTCCGGTAACCTTGACCCTGTTTGGTATCAAAATGGGATATCCAAGTATTGTATTCTATTTCTCAGCCTATGCAGCCGCCGAAATACCATTCATCCGATTCTGGGTATCATAATAAACACAAAAGCTAATATCCAATTAACATGTATAATGTGAAGATAATGTCTTCGTCAGTCATATCTCAAACCACAATCATGACTGTATATCTCTCAAGTAGTGGGTAGGTATCTTTGATCCTCGGCTCCCCTAAGATAGGGACGAGAGCGCAGCTCGTCTCGGGTGGGGCAAGTTGACGAGATTCGTAAGACTTGCTAAAAAAGAGAATAATATTAGATGATTGCTGAGGGCCCTTATAGGGGTTGGGGCATGTCAGATTCCTACAGAAATGGGATCCTCTTGTGTGACCATACCACGAGTGTGTCAGGTTACCCTTTGGGGGTCTTCCGTCTTGATAAACGGGGCGGCGTTCTGAGTAGTTTGTCGGTATGTCTTAAGACTTGATCGCCAATCGCTGCGTAGTGTTGGGGTTTAGCCAGAGGGTCCAGATGGGTTCGAAAGCGGGGTGGCGCCGATGGTAAACTATCCGACATAACACCCCGATGTTGGATATTGCAGAGCTTTGGGTTAGCCATTTGAGGTAGGTTTTTCACCATGTGACCGGAGGAAAGTTGATGCACCTGTTGATACTCCAACATACCGGGCTCCCCAACATCAATAGGGCGGACAAAACCATCGGCGTAAAGCCTCTGCTTCTCTACGGGCTTGTAGGGAGCCGGATCCTTGTTCCACCGTGTACAATCAGACCCATGCCCTGTCACCTCTGGTGCCTTCCCTTCGTTGCAACTAGATTCCTGGGTATTGCGAGATATATGTGGTTCTGTCAGGCCTGGCCAATGGCGCGGGATAATCCCATCACGGCCACTACCAGAAGTAACGGTATACCTCGTATCAAACGCTGGGTGAGATTGACCTGGTGATTTATGATATCCGTTTTGAGAGTCAACAGGACGATTGTAAAAAAATGTTTGGCCATCATAACCTTGGATTGGCCTATGAGGTGCATGAATTTGGGAACCACAATCAAAACGAGCGGTAGAAATGGGAGAATCCTGGGCATTTCCTAGTCCACGTTCTCCAATGTAATGTGGAGCAACTGGCACGACATATCTCCTACGGGTTTGGGGGCCATTCTGGACAGAGGCCTGCTCGCCTGTGCCATTTCGATTCCCGGAGTGAGTACTTAAAATGATTGAGCCATTGGGAGGGGGCGGGTTTTCCATTGGAATTGGCTCATGATATGCCACACGCCGTCTTTTGGAGGCGTGCGCTTGAGAATATTCCTGAGGCAAGGTATGCTTCGGAAAATCTGGGCGGACTTGGCGGTGAGGCGTTACTGAGCGGAAATTGAACGCTCCAGACATCCTTCTAGAAAGGTGTTCTATATGGCCACTATTTGGGCGTTTGATCTCCACAGGAAGGGGGCTTTCGATGGAAGGCAGCACGTGATCCTGCTCGTCCATTGTTCTGCTGTGTGAGTGTCCTGGTGGCCAGGGAGGGGGTCTAGGATTGTCCCCAATCCTCTCGGGGACTTCTCTTGGGCCACTGACAAAAACAGGGCCGCTTGACACATCAGGATGTTGGAGAGAGTATCTTGCTGGCTCAGATATATCGGCCCTTTCCAATGGAAAAGGACGGGCCATGTTGGGTTGGGCAATGGCACCTCCCCTCCTCTTGTTCGGCAGCTCGGCCAGAGGATGTAGATCGTAAGACTCATCCAAAGTCAGCACAGCTAGGTTGTCCCGATGAGGGATTCTCTGAGGATGCCTAGAGCAAAGCCAAGGCGCGGGACTTACACGATGGGCTGCCACAGGGTGAATCTGTGGCTGACTCAAGTTACTTTTAACTGCTCTCTGATTAGGAAAGGCATCCTTAGGGGCAACAGGTAAGTGTGCGGTGTCAATGGTTCGGCACGAAGAAGGCTCCCTGCCAAGTCCAAGGTTTTCCGGCAAGTGTTCACCTGCAGAATAAGAAGGAAACTGATGATTGGTGCCATTTATCCTGTTCCTGTACCTATTGAGGGCACGATCCCAAGCCTGATACCTGCTGAAACCTCGACGGTCAATCTTGGTTTTCTTGGGAGGCTTAGGGATGAAACGGAAGCCTGAAGCGATCTCATCGTCTAAATGCTCTACTTGCGGTTCCCGGGGAGTGGGATTTCCATGGTTGACAGGCCTCATCTGAAGTTCCTCAACCACAGCATTGCTAGAAATAACTTCCACGCTTGTATCTCGGCCATGAAGTGGAAGCGGCTCTCCTTCAACATCACTATCATCGTCATCAGATATAACAATGACTTCGCGGAACACATCTTCAAGGACCGTTTTGCCATTTTCATCGTCACCTCTCCACTCCACTAGCTTGGCAAGAGTCGGCTGCTCAACAGTAGCCCTTGCTTCATGGAAAGAGGTTGCTTTGAGAAGGCGATCGTAATTTGTGTAGATATGTCGAATATGTGCGACAACTGCTAATTGCGCTCGTCGGGCGAGAGGTAGCTCAACTGCTGTACCCACTTTCCGTTGGCCCTGGACTTACCAGTTAGCAATTGTTTTGGGCCATAGCTATCCGCCTACCGGTAGGAACCACCTTTTGAAATGCCGTTTTAATAATTTGGTTGAGATCATTGTCGGGAATATTTGGGAAGAGATCCTTGAGGACATCCCTTGCTTCTGTATTGATAGTAATCTGAGAAGCTGAGTCAGTATTCCTACGGCCGGCCTCACTTCCTATGTTATAAAAGGACACAGCCTTCCCAATTGCGGTGAGATATAGACCGCGATCCATACACACATCTGCAACAACAGCACTGGGAAAATGATAGCCAATGCGGTGCACATGCTGTGAAAGGCCGTGTGCATACATGTGTGGGGTTGTCTAGCAAGAGCAAAATGATCAGAAGAAATTAATTATTGGACGAAAAGAGGGATGAGTGAGGGTTCGGCTTACAGAGACTGCGTACACCTTTAACCCATCTCTTCGACAAATTTCTTTGCAAGTTGTTGTGAAATGTGGATCGCCAGCGGATATAAATGTATACCCTGGGGGCGCTCTAGCTTCGAAGGATATCTGCCATCGTCGTCAAAAGTGCCGAAGAGATCTGGCGAGGTGGTAACATACCACACTTCGAAGCTTTTTCTTCTCCTGGGTGACGGATTCCAGTATCACTTTATGCTTCCGCGCCTTTCGTTTCGCAACCCAATTTGGGCTCCGCCTGGCAAAGGCCGAGGCAGACCTTCGAGGGACTCGAGTCATATTGTTGAAATTCGATGATCCTAGTTGACTATAACAGGCATACTGTCCAGCTCATCGTGTCGCCTCAATGCTAGACTGGTATTCTAGGTAGATTGCCGAACGAAATTAAACCTGTCAGCATTTCGTTTGCCGGAAATCAGTAGTTTAGTGGCTAGTTGGTAGGATCAATCATTCAGTGAGCCATCTTGATATAGGGTGGCATGTGGGTGGGAGAAGGCATTTGAAACCAAACCAACGCCGGGAATACGCCGGGAATGTGGCTTGCTGTTGCTTCAGTTTGAGGAAGCGAAATGATCCAATGGTATATCGAACGAGGATCGGGTCTAACACGGAAACCAACAAGGTATGGGTAACCTTGGGGATAGAAAGGAGTGAGAAGTGGAAGGCACCGAAACGGCCATTTCAGCCTGACGTGGGCCCGCGCGGCTCATGCTGGCTGTACCTGATTAGGCTAGTTCGATCTTGGCCGGTCCTCCGCTCAACTTCCGAAACCTGGGGCGGCTCCTGCATCAATAACCCTGATAAATGCTCTGATAAATAAACTACGGTGTTCTGTGGTCTGGGAAGGAGATCCAGGAGCCCCAACTTGGGATTAGATTCCACAAACTTCCCATCATGAACACCATAGCTGTTGACCAGCAGTCAATCATCCATGCCTATCGGCAACTCTATCGGCAGGGTCTTAAAGCCGTCAATTATTCAACGCCCTCGCGCCATGTACTTATTGCGACCTTGCGTTCTTCGTTTCGCTCCTTACCAGCTCAAGATTTCGATTCCAGACGTATCATCAATACTCTGAACTTTCTCCACAAAGCAGCCAACATTGCAGGTATTGAACATAAGATTGTTAGAAATCTGCTCATGATCAAGTATTGGGGCCAGCCCAACGTGAGGTCAAATATGCGAAAGTAAGGCTTCTCCCAAACGTTTGCGCGGTATATTTTCGGTTCCAATCTAATTAGGTTGAAGCTTGGGAGGAATAGGCATCAATCAGAGTGACCCAACCATGCAGAGAGATGCACGTGAACAATGGAACCGAACATTAATGCTTCTGAATGAGAGCTTGGGGACATGTCTAAGATAATGAGAAGTCTACCGTGGTTTGCTATCTATTGGCATATAACAAATCTTTCTAGGCATTTGATGTCAAATCACTGCGATCGTACCGTGGGCCTCTCGAGCCAAATACGTTTGAAATAGTGAGAGAGTATGGTTCCCAGAACTATGGTCTCGGAGACCTAAACCGAAACTACTTGTGGTTTTGAGAGCTTTGTTTTGTTTACTATGCCTTCTGGCTGCATATTGGTGTCAGGTCGGATGCCAGAAGCCAGTGAAGTCACTGGGGGTAGTGAATCATGTCTGCAACGCTTGTCATCTATTGTATATCCTGGCTTAACTGAGATGAAATTGAACACCAATGTGGGTGCCTTACTACACCAACCTTGAAGCCTCTAGAGCGAGATACACCCGTATATGACCAGTACAACGAGAGAGTGTATCGTTGAGGCCACAACACAGTGGAGGGACATTTGGAATTTGATGTCTCTTACCAAGCAAAATTGGGGTCGTAAGGTAACACTGATATTGGGCAGTGCCTACCTTGACCTAGTTATGTATCATCGGTAAAAAGAGACATATATTATATGTATAGTATATAAATGCCCGCTGAAATCAGTTGTTTTGGTGTAAAACAACTGGCTGTATACTAAATACCATACATAGGTCAACAAAAATGGTACCCTGAGGGTTTGATCTGCTAATATCCATGATGCGCAATGAATTGACCTTTTAGGGAAAGTCAGTATGTCTACTTTTTACCAATCTCCAAACACCCGAATCCACCCGTCTGTGTTGAAGTCCTAATTAGACAGGCCTGCCAGGTAACGCCAGTGCTTCTTAATCACAGCTATTCATGGAGCCAGCCGGGCTAGTATCCGTCTTTGGTCCATTTGCATATGTAGATGTATCATCGATGCCCGAATATATCAATGCTCTCGTCTTCATCCTCATCATCCTCGCCCTCATTTTTATTATCGGAGCCACTAGAGTCTGAAACTTCGTCGACCTCTTCATCATCGTCCGCTGGGTCCGTAACTCTGCTGAGAAATCCATATCTATACTTGAATCTAGTGCCCCAAATGCTAAGCTCGCCATTACCATCATTTTCATCATTCTGATTTAACCGACCTCCAAAGAGTGAGGTGGATGTGGACCTCTGTGAATGACGGTCAGGAGGTATACCGAAATAGTTGCTGATTACAGGTGAGATTGCGCGGCCACGGGTAAGGTTATAAGAATGGAATTGCCCGGATGAGTTGAATTGGGGGTGTGCACCTGCTCCTGGTGCCGAGCTGGGGTCAATTTGCAATGGCGTCAGATAAGATAGCGCCGGATCATCCGCGCCATGAGAAGATGACCTCAGTCTTGAAGCTTCGAAAACCTCACCCTCGATATTTTGCTCTGACGAGCCCGGGGAATCCCCTTGGAGGACACTTAGTTGAGTTGTATTATACGATTCGCACCTGAATCGTTTCATTAGTCCGTTTCTTGACCAAAGCGCCGATAACACTTACATATCACACCGCAAGCCAAGCCAGTGGTATTTAACGACCGACTTTGTGCCACAATCATTGCAGGTTATAATGGCTTTAGTGTCCTTGAAATCAACGGGCATTGGTTGGCTTTGAATAGTCCTATCCAAATTTCGGAACGTTGCTTCCATATTCGTGATCGTCTTGCTACATATTGGGCAGCGGTACGATGACTTTGAATACTCTGAAAGACACCGTTGGTGAATGCTGTGGCCGCATCGCATGAAAACAACCGTCTCAGGTGAAGTAAACATGTAGTCTCCGCATATCGGGCAGTCACACTGTGTTGACCGTTCAATGCACTTATGTGTTGTCTCTATCGAAACAGGAAGACAGACACTGCAAGTCTGTGGTATAGTTAGCCAACGAATTAATGTTACCTCCCATTTACCACCGGTGTTTACCTTGCAGTGAAAAAAATCCTTCCCTATACCCTTTCCTATGCGACAGATGCCACAGTCGTTGCAATGATAGATGCTTTTACTAGCATCATTGTCCCAAAGTTTACATGTGGCACAGTAGTACTGCGCGGCTGTTTCTCCACACCGTTTACAATACTGGGCGGCTGGTTGGGCATGACTGCATAACATGCATAACATGTTCTCTGTTTTCGGACGATTAAGATGATGGGTTTCGACTTCATCGTGGCAAAAGCGACAAGTATACCACTTCTTGCAATCAAAGCATTGGAGTTTGACGTTCCTTTTATAATGTGAACAGCCCAGGAAAGGCCCCTCGAATTCTTCAGCATCTGCATCCTCGGCGTCCTCAATAGGTAATTCAGTCTCAAACCTAGGATGGAAAGTCGGCTCTAAATCTTCGGTGGTCAGATTATAAGAAACGTCCTGCAATTCGGAAGTAGCTGTAGAGACTGAAGAGACAGAAGGTTGACCAAAGGACTGGCCGCTCCATCGATTTGGTGTATGCGATCGTTCCGGTGTTCGGAAAGAGGGGGCAGGGGAGGAGATTGGCGAAAGATGGCTTCCCGAGAAAGCCTGAGATGAATTGTATTTCTCTGTCATTAGATCATGGATCATGCGGGCTTGCTCAGTGTTCGTTCGCCCCAAATCTCGAATTGCGTGAATCCGCCTCCGTAAGGCTCCCATTCCGTCGTCCTCGGGAAGTAGGGGATGTACCCCCATATCATCCGTTCCCGATCCAGTATTGGAACGTTCTTGAAATTCGTTGGTCTGGGAAATATTTTGTCCCATAGCAGAATCAGAGTGTGCTTGTCTTGACGCAGCGAGGGGACCCCCAAAGTTCGCGTTCATAATGCCCCCGCCATTCCGTAAAGGTTCCCCAGTATTATGCCCGACATGCCCTAGATGATAGGCAGTATTGATCTCATTTTCTGAGATCTCCCGAATCGTTGTGGGCGATGAAGACGCAATGATGGATTCATTTTCAATTCCTGCAAATCCATTACCGCCTAGGTGCTGTCCCAAGCGCTCATCTCGGTTTAGGCTTGACATAATAAGACCTCAGTTACCATCTCTGTAGTTATTCCCTGACGGATATCTTATTCCTCGAGTCTCGGTATGCGTATGTGAAAAGTCATCGTCGAAAGCAGGTTGAGGTTCGATTGCTCTGGGGTAGATCGAAGGCCTTGTGTATAGCGTGTTTCGAGGAGAGTGAATTTGTGGTCCTGCTCATGAATGTCGAGGCCAAAAATGGATGTGGGCGAAAGCATGAAAAGAATCCAAGATGGTTGGGAGCTAAAGCCCGACTGAAACATCAGGAACGATCGACCAGGTTATCTTGTTCACTGCCACTTACCTTCTTGTTTCGGCATGTGAACAGCACCGCCTCACAGGCCTAGGCTCCCACCTTCATTCCCAGTCACCTGACCAGTCACTGTTTTATGCTTCACGTATCCGTGCGATGTTGACAAGAATATATTTCTCTATATTTTAACTTGATTTGGGAGGGTACTACCTGGGTAGAGTTAATGCTGGCGACTGATTAAGGGCTGTTGCTCGCATGCCCAAGTAATGGTGGGAGGTCTCGGATGATCTCATTCGGCTGCAACTTGTCCCACCACAAGAAGACTTTAACCACCAACAATCAGTGACAGCCGGGGCTTGGTGCACGACTCAACCAAACACCTGCCTAAGGATGGTATGATTGATACACATGCTAGGAGTGTGTTGGATTTACGTCTAACTTAGTGTTGTCCTTAGTCGAAGCAATACCTTTCCTACGGCTCAGCAGATAATAGTAAGCTCAAGAGCTGTATAACCCCACCCAAACTCCTTTACTAAAACGTTACAGCTCACCCCACTGATATTTTTTCGCTGGCCGTGACCGACAATCATATCTTGTCGGCATCAGGGTCCAATGTTCTTCAAATCCACTCGACGAGTGATGCAGACTTCCCTTTAGCACAGAAACTTAATGCCCACAAGGTCGGGTGCCATCATGTTGTGACTGATGCAAAAGGATCAAAAGCAGTTAGTGTTGGATTTGGCGGCGAGGTGATAATCTGGGCTTGTCGTGATGGAGCATGGTCAAAAAAGAAAGATATTACCCTTGCGGATCTTTGGGCTGTGGCTTTGTCTTCCGATGGTCAATATCTAGCTGGTACCACCCAGGGGGGCCATATCAAAGTTTGGGATTTGAATGCAAACGAAGAGGAGATACGAGATCATGAAACGAAGGGCAGTTTTGGAACTTGCATAGACTTGGTAAGTATTTTCTTCTGCCTCCCGTACTATGTCTAGATGCTCATGTAGCGTTTATAGTCACCGGACGGCCGATTAATCGCGAGTGGCCACGAAAATGGCAGCGTCTATATTTTCAGTACGGAAACGGGACGTATGCCATTCAGTCTATCAGGTATGTGGTGCATATAAGTTGCCAACCCGCGGTCTCCCGCCCAGGCAGGAAGCCTAGCTCCAGCTAATCGTCTCTCAGGTTTAGTAAAGCCGATACGGGCTGTGGCATTTTCCCCCGGTGGGAAGTTTCTGGCTGCGGCAGGTGACTCTAAGGTTATTGTGCTATATGATACGTCTTCTGGCGAGCAGGTGGCAAGCCTCACAGGTCATGCTGCGTGGATTTTGTCTCTCTCTTGGAGCAGTACGGGAGAGTATCTCCTAAGCGGGTGAGCCCTTCCCCCACTTTACTAGAAGCTACGAATTAACTGGAAGTGTGAAAAGCTCCTTTGATGGCAAAGTCAAAGTCTGGTCGATCGATACGAGGAATTGTGTTGCGACCCATTCCGAGACCGAAAGAGCTATATGGAGTGTAACGTGGTTGCCGAAAGCCGGTAAATCCGAGGGATTCGCCATAGCCGGTGCCAATAGAAGCATATCTTTCTATAGGGAAGCAACGGGCGGCTGAAGTGCTGAAAGGACAAAGGGCTAGAACCCGCTGCTCGCTATGGCAATCGCTCAACTACCTAGTAGTTAAGCAAGTTTACTATTCAAAAAAAAAAAAGGGGCCGGGGNGGTTGAGAGAGAGAATCAAAAATACTCACACTACCGTCTTCCACAGTTCCTGCCTCGCCTCACTCGGCCGTTTCAACAGAAAAATATTACAAACCAAGACCTGTAGGCATAGGATTTCAAGTATCCGATGGGCCTCTCTATAACCGCCAAGACGTAGCCATTAGTGATGAGTACCTTTAATTAGTTAATGTTTAGACTCGACGGGCTTGTGGAAGTACGCTAAAAAGCAGGGTGCAAATGCATAGTATACCATATCTAAGATTCAATTGGATCATGCTTGCCTTGTCTTTTTTTTTTTTTCAATTTAGATTTCAGCCTGTAACAGAAGCTTCATAATTGCTTAATTCACCGAAGGTAACTGTTTTCAATAATCAAGTTGTTTTAACTAACTTATGTTCATCATGTGTTTAGATACGCTTAGGTAAGCACGCCGCATGCGGGAGCTTCGATTTCCTTCTTCGGCCGGCTTCATGCTGACTCCGGCTCACTTACGGTACTAACTAGTGCGGAGAGTCGCCCTGTTCGGACGACGATGGCGGCGGCGAATAACGTTGACGGCGCTGAATGACCTTGCCCACTTATATTCTTGATGCATTATCCCTCCGGTTACCCCTAAGTTCTTCTCTTCTCGTCGTTCCTTCTGTCTAACTACGGAGTACTTCCACCCTCGGTTTCCATTCGTTTCTGAAACAGAGTACGGATCTCTCTCTATAGCTTGGGTTCTACCCCCGTCAATCATCGATAAGCAAGACTTCCTCCTTTTTGAAGTATTTCGTCAGGGCAGTAGGCTGTGACGCAAACCACTCGGGCTGAAATAATTCACCTATTTTTTTTCTTTACCTTTGCGCGACCTAGTTCCTTCTTTTAACCTTGAGTTCTCGAATAAATACCCAGTCGACGCTACTTCCCGCTATCCATAATCACCCCTCCCAACCCTCGACTATTCGGATGCGTTACGGTACCCGTGTATACACCCCGCCTCATCTTAAATATCATGATCCGTCGCAATTCAGATATTGGAATCCAACTGCCCGATGCTGGTCCTGCGGTTGCGCCCGAAACTCACAGTGAGCCGGACATAGAAATGCTGTCCGATGAGTCGTCCTCTTCACTGAGTCTTCCAGCCCATCTTGCGACGCGTTTCGCCCGGAAAACCAGCGTAGTGCGACGCTCTTCCGCGGTCTCATCCCGGCGGGGCTCTATTTCTTCCTTGCATTCGCAACACTCGAGTGCCTCCCATGGAGCAACTGCTACCGATAATATCGCGCAACATCTGCGACGGGCGTCGATTTTAGAAACCAGGAAAGCAAGACTTGCGGATCGGGCGCTGCATGCAGAGAAAGTGAGGCTACGCGCTGCTCTGACAAAAGCTGCCACTCGAAACCTCCAGAGAGAAGGGAGAGCCTTAGCTGCCCAACAAGCTCGTGAGCGGCTATTGGCAGAGATCACAGCTAAGTGTGAGGAGGAAGTTCGGCGTGCGAAGAAGAAGGCAGAAGACAACCGCGAGAAGAAGGCGGCAGAGCACGCGCGTCTTCGAGTTGAGATGGCCGAGAAGTTTGCGGAGGCAGAAAAGAGACGTCTTCTATATCAGCAAACCCCTAGGCGTCATCGCACAAGCAGTTCTACAACCGAAGAGAGGAAAACTGCAACTATGAAACATCTTACTGAAGATGCCGCTGCGCGCAAAGTCCAGAGGGTTTGGAGGACATATCATGCCCGACTGATAATGCGAGAATTTCTAAGTCTTAACATTACAACAGAACGCATTCGTGACATGAGTTTTGAAGAAGTCGGTGCGTTATTATCGGCGGAGGAAGTCCTGTCCACAACTGCTCGAGTGCTTCGGCTTTGCGGCTTACATGATATGGAGAGCGGAACAATCGGTGGCCGAGGTGCTGTGCGCACATTCCTTAGTAGCTACTTGATTGTCACACATCCTGCTGAAGTTTTGAGCGGAGATGGTGAACAGGAGCAAGACTTGATTTTCAAGGCACAGGAACTTCTCTCTGCTTTTAAACAAGTGACCCCCCTGCTGTCTTCTGGCTGCTGTTCTCCGGCGACGATTTCCGCCGAAATTCAGACTCTGTGTGAGGAATACAATGTCTTCTTTTCTGCATTCCATGCGTGGAAGACACATGATTCCAGTGTTTTGATCGAGATTATGCTCGCCCAGTTTGTGGAATTGGAATTAATATGGCAGACAGTGAAGGATGACCAAGCTGGAGGTGTAGCAGATGACTACCGTCAAGGTATCAGACAGAATCAAATTCTACTACTCGCTAGGCTCAAGCGTCTGGCAGGCTCTGACAGAGCAATGCAGATGGTCCGGGATGCCTTGAAAAGGGCCAAGCGACAGAAGAAAAAGTCGGCTTCCAAGCAGGCCATTCCGCGGTCAGCAGAAGTAGCGTCTGCAACAACTACCACCGAAGCTCTCGCTGAAAGCGTTGCATCACCGATTAGTGAAAGCTTCAATAACGTGGACAGCGCGGTTCTGCAAGAGTTAGAGAAGCAGCGTATATCTCCACATGAGCGGTTCTCGAAACTTCTAACTGCTCTTCCTGAAAATCGTGCTCTAGTCCATGAGCTTCTTATCAACAAAGAGTTCAAAATTGAGGAACAGTCATATACAGAGCCGCGTAAGCGGGTCATGGAGCACATGTGTGCTTTGATGCGCCGAGACGTGGAGGCTGGCATGGGTACAAATTGGATTGTCGCCATGGCCACGGTTATACAGGATCGCTTATTGCGTTCCCTACGACCTGGCAATTCCCTCCATGTGTTGATTAGTGAAGTTCTCGATCCAAAACTGGTAGAGAATCAGTGCAAAGCGGGGGCTTTCTCCTACGACGCCTTTTTCAATTTTATGACCTCAATTCTTCCAAAGCTTTGCGCACCTTACCGTGACCCTGCGGTCAATGCATTTGCCGATGACACGTCGGGAGATGCGATAGATCGCTTGGCGAGACTCATGGGGATTATTGACCTTTTGTCTCTTGATCATACCAACTTCATGATCCAGGTTGCTGCTCCTCAGCTTATTCAAGAAGCCCCTGGGTATGAACAAAGAACCTTCGAGAGAGGTCTCCAGGATGGCTCCTTTGGCATAGGAAAGAGCCGCCGTTTTTGGCGGACGCACCGTAAAATAATGGCCGATGAAATGCGAAAACGCGATCCCGAGAATGTCCATGGGGAACCGCAGCCACCTGCCTCGAAAATTTATGCCCATGGACTCGTTGATCTCGTTTTCAGCAATGCACCGGTATCTGACGATTTGGTCCCCGAGACCTTGGAGCTGGATCGCCAAAGATTGAACACACTACACGCTCAGGCTTTTAAAATAGTAGCTACAGCTTCAATCCTTTTGACTGCCAAGAACTTACTCAAACGCGATGCACGAGCGCAGTGGAAGGCTGAAGCTGACCGGATATTGTCCTTGGATTTCAATGATGTTTCCTCGGACCGGATTCAGTCAATCCTCGAGTCTACTCATCCTATGCCCTCCAACGCGAGTACTCAGCTGACGGCGACTATCAGGCGAGTACTCTCTCCGGTCGCGACAGCATGTGCAGCTGCATCTCTCACGGCAAGCCAGACATCGGTTGAAGTCCATACAGAGATTCCCACGCAGGGACCGTCGTTCTCATCAGATTCGACAAGTACCACAACATCTAGTACACCCGGAAATGGTGCGACCGGCTTCGCAGACCCAGTCGCACGTCTTATACTTTCCCGTTTACGGGGCCACGTGCTTTCCCGACTCAGTGCATCAAGTGCGAGCGAAAGAGTGCGAGCAACGAGTACTGCGAGCCAGAGTTTAGCTGGAGCAGGTATGCCAGAGTTCGTGAATCAAGTCGGGCAATTGACAGAGGAACTTGGAAAAGTGCGTGAAGTTGATTGGTTATGTCATGGAATGATCTATGAAGGGATTTTAACCGAGAGCGGTCGTTTGAGTCCAGTATCCTAAGGTGTTCTTTATCTCTATTTTGGATGGTCTGTTGGATCGCATTTGGGGGTTTATCGGCGTGGTTATGCTTTCTGTAGTTAGACTCTTCCATGATTTTATGGCTGTAGCTCCGTTGCTAGTGACCACTACGAATTGGCCTAGATTTATGGACTCGTTCAGAATACACCCATTGATATTTTTAATGTGTTATCTCTATTTCGTTTTCTTGAGATAGTTTTATCTTATCTTGTCATCTCTGCTGCAACCCCACCACATCAAGTTTCTCTGGCCCGTTCGTTCAACCCTTTCAGCATCGAGACTGAGATTTACTCCCGAACCACTGCAGTACAAATTATCCTTCTAATTCAAACCGAGTATCCCAAAATGGTGGCACCAAATGCTGCCGTAGCTGTTCCGAAGCTCAGCATCAAACTCCTTTCCAACCTAACCCCACCGTCGCTCGAACGCACATGGCTCACAGCACCACACCCTAGCCTGCCCCTCGTCGCAACTTGCAGCTCTGACAAAACAGTTCGAGTCTATTCATTAACAAACTTTCGTCTCCTTTCTACTATATCCGGCGGTCACAAGCGAAGCGTCCGCACTTGCGCCTGGAAGCCGAATGTGTCGGGCGAGAGCGTCATCGCGACGGGAAGCTTCGATGCAACTGTAGGAATCTGGAAGCGATGGGACAACTATGAGGAAGCAGTGGCTGCAGAACAAGAGAATGGCGATATCCCGCAACGAGCAAGAGAGGAAGACAGGGAGGAAGACGAGGATGAGGAATGGCGGTTTGCTGTTCTTCTAGACGGTCACGACAGCGAAGTAAAATCCATTTCGTGGTCTGCGTCCGGAATGCTTCTTGCTACATGCTCACGAGACAAATCGATCTGGATCTGGGAGGATCTTGATGATGGGGATAACAACTTTGAAACTGTGGCCGTGATGCAGGAGCATGAAGGGGATGTCAAGTGTGTTGCTTGGCATCCTGCGGAGGAGTGCCTTGCGAGTGGGAGTTATGATGATACGATTCGGATTTGGCGGGAGGACATTGATGATTGGGGCCAGGTTGCATGTATTCGAGGCCATGAAGGGACAGTTTGGAGTATTGACTGGGAGAGTGTTGATAATGTGCCACTTCCTTCGCCGGAGACTGAATCTAAGGAGGAAGAGTGGAGGCAGTGGCATTCTCTTTCGGGGCCTCGCCTCGCATCTTGCTCGCATGATCAATCTGTTCGCATTTGGCGACGTCAACCGAAGGCACAGATGAGCGCACCTGGAGCAGACGCAATACCAAGTATTATTCGGCCATCCGGTACGGATGAAACTTGGGAAGAGGACGCTGTCCTTCCGCATTCACATGAGCTCTCGATTTATGCGGTTTCTTGGAGTCGACGAACGGGCCTGTTGGCTTCTGCCGGTGCAGATGGACGCATTGTGGTTTACGAGGAAAGATTCACGGCTCCATCCCAGACTTATAATCAACCCATGGATATTGATCCCAAGCGCCCAAACTCTACTGATGGGTGTTATTCTCAACATCCGCCCACTGAATGGAAGATCGTTGGGGTCGTAGATGGTGCACATGGAATTTACGAAATCAACCACGTTACATGGGCCAAACGGGCTGATCGGGGCCGAGAAGAAAATAAAGAGGAAGAGTTGCTAGTTACCACTGCCGACGACGGGAGTATCAAAGTATGGGTGTTGACACGGTAACACTAGTATCACACCTAAACGACTACATTGCGAATATGTCAAATAATTTTCTATCAGTTATATATTGGGGTGATAGGAGCCCATAGAGGATAATATAAAAGCACGGGAAAAAGGAATGTTAGTTTGGTCATAAGTTTCGTATCTAATGGTTGTTGGATTTGTGTAGTATGCTGTATATAGGGTGTCAAAAAGAAGGCTGAAAGAAAAAATAAAAATCACTACACGATATCCAATATTGGCCAAGAGAATAGAAGACAAATTATTCTACAAGATTAGCTCCGGCTTGCGATGAGGATCCTTGAGCTTGCGGCTGCCCCTGGCCCTGTCCGTGCCCTTCGTCTCCACTGTCATCGCCGACCGCGTAGTTCTCTCGATCCAGGCCAGGTGAGTGCAGGTCATCCAGTTCAGCTTCATCAAAATCGCCGGCTTCCATGTCTGCACCGTTACTCTGCTTGTTGTGAAATCGTCCTAGAATAGAGGCCGAACTTGGGGACTTGATAGATATGCCACGATAGCCGCTGTGCCGTTGGCGGCTGCGCCATATGAAGAAGCCCCATACTAAAACCCCGATAATGACAACAACGAGTACTGCTTCGCCGGACTTGGCGTAGGCGTTCCACTCGGTTTCTTTGATCTTCTGCTGTTCTTGTTCTTCAGCGGCCGTGCTGTTTGGATGGCCACCTACAGAGGTTTGAGGGAGCGGTTCACCATCGATGCGAGAGTCTGCTGGCATGCCACCAATGCTGGCAATGTCTACGTTCATAAAGCGGTCAACCATATCCCGGGAAGGTCGTGGGAGATCGAATGGGACCATGTGGCTGGCGTTGTAAAAGAGAACGTAGGTCAGGTTCCTCGCATGTTGGTAGTAACCAGCCGGCTCACCTTCAAACGTCCAGTCATGTCGTGGAGCCCATACACCTGGTGAAATTTCGAAACCAGTACCACCAGACCACTTCATATTGCCAATGAGCTCCTCAGTCCCAACATGATTGCAAATGAGGTCTTTATCGCCACTGAACAGAAGAATTTTAACACCCGACTCGAGTAATCCGGGAAGCAGGTCGACTGATGGCTTGGACTTAGCTGCCTGAAACTCGCTGCCAACATTGCCCTCGCATTCTTGCCACCCTGATTGCTTTTTAGGATTTATATTCAGAGCTTCAATCACTTCGTGGCTTTGTAGATAGGGTTTCACATCAGCCAGGTCTGGCGGCCAACTCATGCCACAAGAATCAGGAGTGTCGCGAAGGCGAATATCGTACATGTTGAAACATTGATCATTCGAGTCGTGGGTGTTTTGGAGTAGTTCAGTCAAAACCTTTTCGCAGTCACGTATCGAAACTTTGGGGTGCCCAGTTTCCATTTCCGATTTACAAACGGAGAGTAGAACTTCGAGTTGTCTTCCGAGCTTGCTACCTTCCCGGACGAGGCCTTCTTCGTAAGCATAAGTCAAGTAGGCCGGGTATTGTTCCGCTGGCGATACCCAACCATTACCGATGAGAAGGCCGCGAAGATTCCAATGTGCATCCCTATATCTGTTCATGTTTTTGTTTCGTTCTTGGATAGCTTTCGCAATGTATGGGATATATTGGCCTGCATATGATTCGCCAGCGAAATAGATCTACCAAGCCACACAAATCAGCATCATAAAGACGATCAAGAGCACTGGACTTATTTGAGGTTCATACATCATCCCGTTCGTATTCAGGAAATATGGCGAACCACTTCTCCATAAATGTAACAAATTGTGCAGCCATTTCATCTAGCTCATGGAGATAACTGTCAGTATTGGCGAAGCTGAATCCGGTTCCAACAGGCTGGTCGACAAAGAGAAGATTCGTGAATTCGTCCCACGAGCCCTCATTGTATTCCAAAGTGTGGTTATCCTTCAGTCGGTAGGGGCCAACTTCCATAAGTGCGCCATCCATCGAGCTGCAGCCGGGCCCTCCGTTCAGCCATATCACCGTCCGCTGACGGTTTGCGATGTGGCGATTTTGATAGTGCCAGAAAAAAAGGTTTCCGTTGGTCTCTGGGTCTACCTCTATATGTCTTAAATAAGGTTAGTTGTGTAGATATGTGGATGGATTCGGCGAAGCTTACCCAGCATGCATCTTCAGCAGCGGGCCCTCTGGGGCTCCAGGCAATGATTTCACATAGTAATCGGCTGCGGACTGAGCTGATACTGTGGTGGGATTAAGGAGGAGGAGCAACAATAATGCAGAGAAATACAATGAGGACAGAGAACCACTCCCCCTACCAGAGGGCCGGGAGAATGACCCGGGGGCCATCCTATAACTAAACGATCGCCGATGTGAGAGTAGGTAATTAATGGAGGATCTCGATGATTGAGCAGGACGACGGACCTGCCAGTTGCGGGAGCGAGGTTTTCAAAAACTCATTGGTTATGGTAGTCGAATGCCGCGCGGATCAGACTCAGTACCTCGCGAACGTCGCAAAACCAAGGGTACAGCTTGCTTGGAAAATGGAGGAGTTATTCAAAAGTAAGGAGGGCGCCTAAAACTGAGAGCGTTAAAGAGAGAATCAAGAGGGGGAGCTCTGAAGTAAAAAGGGTGGTCTGTCGAGGGTGTGACGATGGTGAAACTGAAGGGCAGCGTGGCCATTCGTAAGCATCTTACTGATCCTTACTTTATCGAGTTCCACGCTGGGTGGCGATTATGTATTTTACCGTACGGAAGGCGTCACAGCCGGGATACTTTCCGCATTCGAGGCTCAATAAGCAAGCAAGAATCTTGAAGGCATTCGTACAGTGTGGTTCTTATTCTGGGTTTATTGAGCATATGCTGTCCTTATCCGTGCGGCATTTGTGCTTATGTCCGGTACAGTAAAATCACCCATCGCCTTTAATCCGCGCAGAGGGCTAGAAAAGATCCTCGATACCTTGGTCAGCGTCCTTTTTTATCAGTTCTGACATTCCCTAGTAGTAGCCTGTTAGCATAGTTGGCTCTTGTCCGGAGTCGGTGCGAGTGTTCAGCCTCCATTGACTTACCTTGGGCATGATGGGCTTGCCATCACTGTCTTTTACATAGCGAAACGGCATCTCAGTCCGCTCGTGCTCATTGATCACAATTTCTGGGTGGTCAATGTATGGAATCTCCTCTAGAGGAACTAGTGAAGTCAGTATTTCTGATAAGTTATTCGACATAGGGGCCAGGTGTGGTCTGTCTACCTCTGTCATGGACAACCATGCGCGTAACTCGTACCGCCGTATCAGTTGTCATCTGTACGGGCCCAAGTCGCCGCCCTTCATACCCTTTTTTCCTAAGCTCAGAGGTACGATCTGGAGTCAACTCGTCAGTGGTAGGTGTTCCTGCTGGGATTTGAATATAACCTACCTCGTGGAGGGTCATCACCTGTATGACAGCGCTTAAAGTCAGCTAAAAGAAGCCTATACATCGCGGTCTTCTAGGGGATTCGCACCTAATATTCCTCCAAAGAGGAAAACTTCAAAGTTGTCCCCATCAGCGGGACTAAGCTCAACCTTGGCAGAGGGATCCAAGAGGCAGACCTTAGATTTTCGGTCTGCAAAGACCTCTTCGATGCTGCGATGCTCAACTCCAAGGCCATCGGTAGCGGCTAGATCGTCCGGCATTTGCAACGAGGTAGGGACTGAGCTCAGGAGAAATTTACTGCCTCCTGAATGGGACTCTCGGGCAATGCAGCCATACTCCAGAGCAGACCAGGCACCTAGTTCGGGGTCTAGGTGCTCGACCACGATGGTGACAGGCGCGGTGGAGGGATTTTGGTCACTCATGATGGACCGACCTGTAATTATAGTCAATGGAATAGCTGTAGTCCACTGAGCATCGAGTATCTCTACCTTATTAGGTCGCAAACGGATGGGCTTTCTGATGAGGGGCAGAAAAATTATTCTCTTCCGCAGCCAGACTCCGCTCGCTGTTGCTAGACCTAATCGAAATGGCCTCCGTTCTCAAATCAGGCAGCGACTTCCTGGAGTGTCTTAGGTTTCATAGATCGATCGAGCTTTTGGAATAATTTTATTCCTGCGCAAAGCTCAGAGCCGCGGGGATCTCGCCCATGGTTGGTGGCACACAAGCCTAAACTCAACACGGTTACTGCGCATTCTGAAGAACTGGGAGCGGACTCTGGGCCATTTGGTTCATATCATGATGAGCCAGCCGCACGTTTCAGATCGTTGAGCTCCCTCTTGGCTACGGACTACACTTGGTTAAATATGAAGAAGTTTGATTTCTTACTTTATCCAAGCTCGACCTTGGCGTATTGCCGGTGTTGATTCAGGTAGGTATTTCCAGTGGACTGCCCGTTTCAGATCTCCGCGCGTCTAGCTAGATGTAGTAAGTGGATTTCCTAGTTAGGCGCTGAGTGGGAGCGTGCTATGATAATCAACCCAAGTAACTATGGGACTCCTCACTCCTGGACCTTTAGACTTCCGACGATTATTATTCTCCCAAGTACTTCTTCCCTCCATCCCTCATCGATGTATGTCTAATCTCCAACTCCAAATTTCCGCTCTGTCGTCTAGGGCACTTTCTATCCTTTTTGACGCTCGATAATCCGTGTTATATCCCTTACGTCTCCAATCGACATCACCTTTCCCTCCCCGCCATCAGTGGGGTACTCTGACGACACCCAACATTACCTCGTCCAACCTCCCCGCCCGACGTCTGAGATAACTTACCGACTTCCCACCATCTTACAACTACTACCATCTCCAGACAGCCTCGCCTCAGATTGTGATTGCTGCGGCTATCTATTACGATGAATCCTCATCAGCAGAACAAGATTGATACTAGCGTACGTTCTCGCTGGCTACCAACACATGTTGTACATCGTGCGGACTCTGACCGTGATCTAGAAGTTGAGTCCCGATGAGCAGCGCTTGCTGCGCCTCTATGGAAAAATGCCCAATAAGAAAGATCTGCTCCAAAACAAGCTCAAGGTAAATGGTTTTCAAAGATTCAACATTGTTATTCTTCGCTAATTTGTCTGGGCTATATCCAGGAGCGAAAATATTTTGATTCAGGGGATTATGCTCTGAGCAAAGCCGGAAAGGCCTCAGATGTTGGTGTGACCAACATCGGTTCACAACACCCAGTTCCTGAAAATATTCCTCATCTGACCGCTACATCGCCCGGTGCGAACAACCCTATGACCGCGGGAAATAACGGTGGCAGCATTTCCGCTCAGGGTGGGCAGCATATTCCTGGCAGCATTAGCAGCCATCCTGGGTCTGTTGGCTTCCAGAGCCGGAGCCCCATTAAGGAAGGTAGCTTCCTTCAACGCGGAAGGAGTGTGGATGAATCTGAAAATGCGTCTGAAGCAACCGAGAATAAAGACCAGGATGAAGCTGTAAGCCCGCCTCCTGCTACCGAGGGCGTCCCCATTCGACGATGATCGATTATTCAAAAACGGCCATTCTCTCAGTGTCCTATTTTATCGATTCTCCCTTCTGATATTATACCAATGAATGATAGTATGAAAAGAGCCTGGCGCCTTGGTTTCTGCTTTCTCTTTGGTGTAATTTCGAATGTCGGGTTCCTCGTTCGAACATGTCGAGGTTTGAGGGGTCAGAAAAAAAGCAAAAGGACCGTGCGGGGCACTCCAAAACCCTTGATCACCTGGGCATCGACAGCATCGGAATTGCTTCGCCTCGTCCGTTCTCTTCCGCTGAAGGGAAGAAGACACTCCTCGCTTGTGGACGGCTGCAAGTTCCTAAATTCCTATTCGCTGAGCTCATGCATACCTGCGCTTGTTTCTGAATGGCGCTAGATTGCGCAGTATGTTATTATTTCCTTTGTCATTATTCTCTTCTTTGTCTATATCGACGTACGTCACTTATTGATAACTTTTATTATCATTCATATATTTGTATTCTTGTATTCTGTCTTGCCTGAGCTAGTGGTTGGGTTCGAGACGTTCGGACGTTTACATGCAATACTAGGGTATATTTTCCATGTTTTATATCCGGGAGGTACTTGGAAAAAGTTCCTAACTAGTATTTATTGCCCCCCCCAAAACCCCCCGTACTACGCACAAAGTAAGTAGTACCTCACTTGGCATTAATCGAATACAAAGAGTTAGCATCCCATTGCATATCCACGGGTGTCTTATTATACCATTCCGCCGACCCTATATATATCCCCTCAACTGTCATCATAGGTGACGCGGTAAATAGATAAAACTATGGATGCCTCGGACCGGGTACGCATTTTAGGGAGTATAACCAGGGAAGGGAGTATAAGATAAGGAGACATGCTACCGATAAGGTTAAAAATAGATTGGGGTATATAGGCAAAAATGAAAAATTCCATAGAGCCTAGGCATATCTAAATAGGAAAAAATAACTGACTTGTGAAAAGGGGGGTTCTGTTATCCATTGAATTTCAAACGGCCAAATATATATAATAATACGGCCTGGAACTTGGAAGGAACGGTTAAGACCGTCACGGCAGAGTTGGCGGCGATATTTTGGTATAAGAAAACCTTCTTTTGAGCTATTCTGAGAGGTGCCCAGATAGATGATGTATCGCGTGTCATGAGGGGCATGATCTTCGAGTTGAGCCAAGGCTGGGAAGTGTTTGGTTCGGTATACTTTCGAGCGTGGATGAGGAAAGCAAACGAAGTCGGAGGTCGTGAACTGGCAATTTTGGTTCCAAAACATACTTGTATCGTTTTGGTATTTCCTGGAAGCTGTCACCTCTTTGAAAAGGTATGAAGTCTGACATTGATTTCAATAGCGGCTGTCAACAGGTGTTTGATTTCCCAGACCACGGTCGCGAGAATCCAACCCAGTGTCACCTCGGGATTGTACGTGCATGGCGGGAGGAGCCAGTTAGACACGACTATATCGAAACTCTGATCCCACAGGATTAGGCTAGCTGTCACAATTAAATTGCAAATTTGCTCGCACTCTCAATCGGTCTTCCAATGGCCAGCCAGCCCCGAGTCGAGATCATCAGAGGCCCCAAGCCATAGCTCGACAGCATACAGGGCCAACATGCCTGCAAGATTGATCCAACGCCAAAGATTGCCCCCTCCTGCACCCTGGGTACTCCACCACTGCCCACTACCACCCATGGCTTGCGAAGTCGTTGCAAAGTGTTGCATAAGAAGGCTGGTATAAACTGAAATAAGGATAGAAGGGGAGAAGTAGCTAAGGAAGCCCAGAAACTGGCCAGCAGCATCGGAGTCGTCCAGTGAGGCTTCCTGAGAGAGCGCACGAGCCCCAGATTCACGAACTGCTGGTATGATTCGCGTGGATGCATACAACACTAGGATACGGTATGTAAGCGAAATTAGGACAGACGGAGTCACTGCGCTGAAGACGGCAGTGATCATATTGAATGCGGCATGGATGATGGATGGTAGGAGGGATACGGCGTGCATTAGAGTGGTGTATGAGGCCATAATAATAGGCGGAAGAGGGGGAAAATCTCCCGATTGTGCAGGTGATTGAACTGGCTGCTCCACTGGATGCGATGGCTGATAGTCCGTGAAGATCTGATAAATGCACAGCACAACGTATGCGAACAAAAGAGAGCTCTCTACCGGGTTCCCACGGCCGCTTCCAATTCCCCAAGCGCATAGTATCACGGCACACGTCACGGTCACACCTATCAAAGCGGCATCGACATTGGAGATCTCGGGAAATTGGAGAACGCGCCAAAGGAAGTATACGGAGCTCGAAATGATGGACGCTGAGAGAACAAGAAAGCCGATCTATCACAAACGAGGGTTAATTTCCGATCACAAGCCTTGCAAGCCTTACACTGCGAAATGAACGTACCATCCAGCTATCGCTCCGCCCGCCGCGATTTACAAGCCATCGGGTGATCTGCCCGGCGGCTTGGATGACCAGTAAGCTGCAAAACCCCTCTGCGAGCTGGAAGACTGGAGTCGACCACCTCAAGAGTTTGTCCCAGTTCCCGATAGCCACCTCCTCCAGTAGTCCATCGCGACCAAGAATCCAGTCCTTAATAGATGAGTCTAGTGCGCGTTTCCCACTGAAGGTCCGTTCTACCCATGAAGTAGTATTATCAGTGTCAACAGAGAAGCGGTTGAGTGACCAAATCAGGAGAATCGGGATGAGGATCCATTGCGCAGAGTTGATTAGAACAATGAGGGAGGAGCGCAGCCAGGATCGCTCGGGAGTTGTGAGTTTTAGGACGGAGAAAAGGAAGTAGAATGTCGCCAGGGAAAGTGAAAAGGCCAGACCGCATGTCTTCCCACCGACGTCAAAAGCCAGCGGGATGGAAGAAACAGTGACGGTAAGGAAGAGGGTCGAAGAGAGTATCCGAAAGAGCCACATCGGATCGGGTAGGTGGTGGCGCGAACGAGGAAGCTCGCGCCTGGTAAAGAGGAAGGACGAAGGAAGCTGGTGATTGAGCTCGATCAACGACGCGGTGTCGGTCTGGCAGCCTCCAGGCACTGGTCGAAACCTGGAGGGGGCGAGACGCACAGAGATTAATATAGTCTCAACAAGGGAGCATGAATCCGGGCAGGATCAGAGAAAGAGAACGGGTGAGCTGATTTTGGAGTTGTCGACCCTGGTTCCGTACGTTGTGGTTCTCGTGTTCCTCTACCCTGGAAGTTTTGATCTTATCTCTTCGCGGGACGGAAGAAACGACCGGCTTCACGTGGCTAGTATCCGTATTGGAGATACAAATATTTAACCTGAACCACTGGATGCGGTCCACAGATAGCAAATCGAAGTTCCTCTTCAGGGGAATAACAGGGAAGGCATCTATATGGGAGACAGAGGGGAAAGGAGTAGTTGTAATAGGAGAAGAAATAGAGTGAAAGGTAAAAATGCCCAGTCCTCGCCAGCGTTGGCTAGTTCAAGAATCCAGGATGCAATCACAAAAAAGCTTCGAACAAGCGGTCAACTGCAGAACGAGCTGGAATTCAAAGGACCCTCCACTAATTCCGGAGTTCAAATTTGTTCAGCGACAGTCTTGAGTTTCTATACCAGCCAACAACCTTGCACATGACCGAGCAACCCCGGCGAAGATGGGAGCATGCGACAGCAATCGATTCCTACAAAACAAGTTCGATACAGTCGCATTGGATTGGATTTGACTGTGCGAACTGAAGACATCTGGCATACACTAACCCGTCTTAGGCTAAAGACACAAACTAGCTCAGGGCCCCGAGCTCGTCTCTCCACTCTGGCTGCCTATCACTTCATTCAACCGAACATAACGCGAGAACATCAAATTCATTGCTGCCCAGATGGTCGACAATCTGTCAAAAGGGACCCATCGCCCTCAAGGTTCTTTCAATATTGGTTTGCTGCGAAACAAAGGTTTTCCACCAAGACCTCCCGGAGACCAGACAGACATATCCCTCCCGCAGGATTATCGCCCACCATGATCATTAGTGTTGTTTGATGTTTGCCAACGAATACACCACGCGGCTTGTCCGCTATGCCTATCATAAAAATGATGCGCAAGACTAGGTAGTTTCTCCAAGCGTCGTAAACGCTGTCCTATGACTACTAATGACATGGGACTGTCGCTGCAATTTATGTGCAAGAAGAAGTCGCGTACAGAACTCGTAGCAATGGGGCTGCTGACGCCTCAATACTCGAATAAGGAGCTCTTGAGGTGAACGGACGTGTTGAGCAGGGAGCATATCAGCCTTTCTAATGCGGCATGTTCTCTAGGAAGGAATATCTGCGGAAACAGCCTAGACGCGTCGAATGATGCCACAAAGAAAAAGCTAGTAAAGCCTCTTCAATAGCCGGCGATGAAGTGAATCTTCCTCGACGACTCATTCATGCACACAAATCAATGTCTGATGTTGAGGGAGCTGATGTCTTCAATGCTGCCAGTGCCGTCGCCAGAAATTTGACTCCCTCTAGCATCAGATTGGATATCCGGGGTATCCTCACGCTCGCCAAATGCACGCTGTATGAGTTTTGCTTTGATAACCGCCCCTTTCAGGCGTTCATCTACATCTGTAACAGCCTCTTCTGTGTTTTGCATGGGTAACGAAGCTGGATCAAGCAGTTCGAGAAGTGTATCGAGGTTCTTTGCAAGTCGGGAGCTGTGTGAGAATTTCGCCATCGACTTGCAAGCGATAGGTTTCAGGGAACTCTCTTCTCCCACCTCTTCGATGCCAACAATCAGTTCTGAGTTCGGTGAAGATGTCTTGTGTGTGTTCTGCTTGATGTCCGCAAGCCTTTGAGCCCAAACCAGCGCTTTGCCATAAAGTTTGCCCAGTTCAACGAACTTCTCAAACCCCTTCTCCACAGCAAACACGCTTCCTTCAGTATACCCAGCCTCCGCGCCATCCGCAGCCCCTAGGCTGAACCCTTCTTTGTAGAAATCTTCCTCCAGGTCGAGAAGGCTTTCAAGAAGGTTGTTATTCATGTTGGCTAGTATTCGACCCAGGCGCTAGTGAGTGAGAAAATTTTCAGGTTAATGATTCCAAAATTCACTCCAGGAAAATAATTTCACAACGTTCAGCGAGGGATAAATCAATGGACATCGGAGTTGTGGAGTTGCTCAAGTTCAACTGCCGTCGGCCGATGAATCATCCACCACCAAAAAAAAGCTCCCCTTCTAGTCTATCTTTTGCCCCTCCACAACCCCGCCATCTCAATCACCCACCATGACTACAGAAGCAAAAATTCTGCCCAAGAAGGGCGAGCGCAATATTCTCATTACAAGCGCATTGCCTTACGTCAATAACGTACCTCACTTGGGCAACATTGTCGGTTCCGTGCTCAGTGCTGATGTTTTCGCCAGGTGAGTCATTCGCACTTGGATAGATCAACATCGGTCAATTTTCAACTAATGCGATATTCCTAGATACCATAAGGCCTGTGGCCACCCAACGTTGTATATCTGCGGAACAGATGAATATGGTACTGCAACAGAAACAAAAGCTTTGGAGGAAAAGGTGACCCCAGAGGAGCTGTGCGCGAAATACAATAAAATCCATCAGGAGGTGTATGAATGGTTTGAGATTGGATTCGATCACTTCGGGCGCACGCCGACACAAAAACACACCGAAATTTCCCAGGCTATTTTTAAGCGGCTCTATGAAAATGGGTACCTTGCGGAAAAGACCGCTGAACAACCGTTTTGCGAGACCCATGGATCCTTCTTAGCCGATCGCTATGTCGAGGGGGAATGTCCACGATGCCACTATGACGATGCTCGCGGAGATCAGTGTGATAAGTGTGGCCATCTTCTTGATCCGTTCGACCTCATCAACCCGCGGTGTAAACTCGATGGCGCCACTCCGGTGAAGCGAAACACGAAACACATCCACCTCCTTCTAGATAAGCTTCAACCAGCTATCGAGAAATATGTTCTTCCTGCTATGGAGAAAGCTAATTGGCCGAAAAACTCCCGTAATATCACGGAAAATTGGTTGAGAGAAGGCTTGAAGGACCGTGGTATTACAAGAGACCTTAAATGGGGCGTTCCCGTCCCCTTGGATGGATTTGACAACAAAGTGCTCTATGTGTGGTTTGAAGCATGCATTGGCTACCCATCAATTACAGCTAATTATACCCCTGACTGGGAACTTTGGTGGCGCAATCCTGAGGATGTCCAGCTTTATCAGTTCTTGGGAAAAGACAACGTGCCATTTCACAGCGTCATCTTCCCCGGATGCCAGATAGGAACCGAGGATAAGTGGACTATGCTTCATCACCTCAATACTGCTGAGTATCTGAACTATGAAGGTGGCAAGTTCAGTAAATCTCGTGGAGTTGGTGTCTTCGGTAATAACGCCAAAGAAACTGGTGTGGCCCCAGACGTGTGGCGATACTATCTCCTGAAGAACCGCCCTGAAACAGGGGACACTCAATTCGAATGGAGATCATTCGTCGATAGCAACAACAGTGAGTTACTTGCCAAGCTAGGCAATCTAGTCAACCGAGTGATCAAGCTTGTTGCTGCGTCGTACGGCTCTACTATCCCCGAATTCACCGTCCCTGAGAGCTTCCAGCCCACCTTAGATGAGGTCACGGCTCTCCTCCGACAATATATTGAAGAAATGGATGGCGTACATCTGCGCGCAGGTGTAAATACTGCGATGAAACTTGCCGAAGCCGGTAATGGCTTAATTCAAGCCAACCGACTAGACAACACTCTCATCGCCAATGAACCCGAGCGCGCCGCTGCCGTTGTCGGTACTGTACTCAACCTCATCCATCTCCTCGCTAGCGTTTTCGCTCCCTACCTCCCTGCTACTTCAAAGTCCATTAATGAGCAACTGGATGCACCTTTCGCTCACATCCCATCACTCGAGGACATCAAGGATGGCTGGAAGCCCGTGGCATTAAAGCCGGGTCACAAAATCGGCAAGGCACAGTACCTGTTCTCGCGTATCGACCCTAAAAAGGCCGATATGTGGCGCGAGCAGTTCGGTGGTTCTCAGGCCGACAGAGAGAAGAAGGAGGAGGAAGCTGCCAAGGTAGCTGCAAAGAAGGCAGCCAAGGATGCGGCGAAGGCCAAGAAGAAGGAAAAGAGGGCCAAGGAGGCTGCAGCTGCTGCAGGTGCAGATGGTGTTGCGCCTGTCGAAGCCACGGCTAAGGGGGGCGCGGAGTCAACCGATGCCACGACGGAGGGGAAGAATGATGAATCTGTCGAGAAGATCACTGATGGTGTTGCGCAGGTAACGATCCCAACATCGTGATTGTGGCCACTGTTTACGAAATACTAGCAGATAGTTAGATGCTTTGTAGTAGACTCTAAGATGAGACTATACTAAGAGCGGTAACTTTGAAAATTCATGCATTCATCATTGGAGCCATATTTTTTTAAGGGGTTGGCTTCTCTCTCCATTCCTTTATCCGGCATAGATTGTTGCTGGCGAACGAGGATATTTCAAATCATATAAATATATGACAAACTTTCATAACCCTAGAGGCTAGATGAGGGGGTCTTTTAACCTATATTGAAATAATTGATGCTGTAACCCATCGTATAAAACAGAATATAACGGGAAAATCGTACCCATTGATATAAAAGCTTATATTATATCGACTTTAAATGGATATTCTACAATGGGAGCTCAATGCAGAAAGGCTCGCTCATGCATTGTTAGAAAATATAAAACTACACACAGAAAACCGACAACAGCAGAGACATAAATAAAGAGGTCATCGTGTCAGTCTGTCTAAGAAGTGGAACGCTTGTTTAATCCTTTAATCCGTCGTAACAATAAGGTACCTAAGTACTGGTGGTTGTATATTACCTAGGTATATTCCCACGCCACTTAGTCTCCCCATCCACTGTAGCTAAACCTGACTGGACAATCCAACTGCGCCAAGCGGAAAGAGTTTTTACCAACTCGATTATCGCCTCCTAGTACCCGGTCTCGGCTTCACCTCTTCCTGCCCAACGGGGTGAAGCATGACCTTATTGGGAAGTTGTGGGGTGTTCGCTGAGTATCCCTTGCTCCAGTCGTAACTCACGGCGTATGCAAATATGTTTCCATTGCGGTTAAAAGCCGAGCTAGAAATTGTTCCCCCAACACTAGGGTATCCCTTTAGACGGTGTTTGGCATCCTTATCCCAGAAGTGGAAAGTTCCGTCACTACCGGCTGTGCTGAAAGTGCCGTGGACTGGATGGAAAGAAATGGCATTGACGGAGTAGATATTGTTGACATCGCGTTGGTTTTGGGGCGTTTCACGGTGGCACTTGAAACTAAAGTTCGAGTTCGAGTCCTTATCCTCGACGTACTGGATAGCACAGCGGCCTTCGATACTTCCGACGGCAAAGCCACTTGCGTCCGCAAAACAGCTGACCACTCGTGTTTGCCATTTTAGAGGAGATTGCATGGTTTTATAGAACTTTGTTGGGTTATTTAAATCGACGATGTTGATGTACCGGTCTGCCGTGCCGATAACTAGTAACTTGTCTTTGACGTCCATGGTGTAAACACGTTCCTGGCACTCCAATGATGCGATAGGCGTTGATTGCCGCAGATCCCAGTATTTAACTTGTTTGTCCCAGGAGCCTGTCACGAGGAGGGGGTTGCCGCCAGCCGGATTTGGGAACATATGGCAGCATCGGATCGGAGCGTCGTGAGCGGCGACCTGGATAGGGGTGGTGGCATTGGCTGCAAGATCGAGCATGCGAGCCGCCTTGTCCGCACCTGCACCAACGACTTTTGTGCCGTCCTAATGGAATAAGCATTGTAAGCGGCGGGGAAACAGAACGACATCACACAAGCTCCTGAAACTTACAGGTGACCAGCAGCAGTTCAGAACTGGAGCTTCATGCTCGAAAAGTGCCTTGCCCTCGCTCTGACCTTGATCGTTGATCTCGTATATGCGGACTTTCTTATCCCATGATGCTACAGCTAAGTGATCGCTTGCAGGTGAAAAGCGAAGATCTGAAATGCTATCCTCGGGGGGAGAATTAAGGGCGACGTCTTTTGAAATGTCCCCAGTAGTGTTGCTGGCAGCTGTTGTGGTAGTGGCCGCAGCGCCAAAAAGGCCCGACATTTGAACAACTTTTTTTCGAATCTGAGCTGAAATCTCAATGCGGTTGGATAGGCTGTGAGATTGTAAAGTGTATTCAACTAGTATCAAGAGCGCATATACGAACAGATAGGATGGCGGAGAGAATTGCTCGGGCGGTAGGTTGCTGAAAAAGCTGCTAGGCAGGACAAGAAAGAAGGACCTACCGTACAGAGCACGCTTGGGAACCGGCAGTATCGCAACCTCAGCCCTCAGGCCGTAACGCTCACCGCTTCAAAACAAACAGGGCAAATGAACCAAACATCACAAACACCACAAACAGAAGGAATCCGACCTCCTCCGTAGTTTATCACAGCAATAACTTCGATATTCAGGGTAATCTCGTTAGATGTGACAGCAGATCTCTGAGATGAAATTACCTAAGGGCAGACTTGCAAATGGCCAAAATATCTTGTTTGGTGTCGTCAATACGGGCTAGTTCTGACCATCAAAACGCTCCTACGTAGTCAGTAGGGGATCAAGATTACAGCTGGTTCCAGAAGCCCAGCGCTGCTACTCCTGAACGGTAATGGTAGCGTGCAAAATGGAAGCTGGCGGGCGCGGACTAAGTGGAGCGGGTGGAAATGCGGGGTGCAGCCTTAGCTTTAGTGGGCCTCCTCCTCAGAGCTCTCGACGTCAGGCTCTCGCGTGATCCGATTCTCCCGAAACGTACTTTGTAAGTACTCAACTATGTAGTCGATCCTTGATGAAGGTGCAAGGGGAAATAAGCGTTCCAGTGGGAGGCATTTCTCTCCCTCAGTGGAATGAGCGAGGCATTGCTCGGTGGGATGATGCGGAACACACCCGCCGTGGATTGAACCATCATCTGATGTATCTGCGACAGGTGCGGAGATCCTTTCAATTCACCACTTAGTAATGACGTTGTCTTACCTTAAGATTGTACGGTATCCTCTCCAAGCTGTTATTTGAGGGGCTATTTGAGGGGTTCTTCGACATGGCAGTGCTTCACTCGAGACAGCTAGCATTGTTCCAAGTATCCTGCGACTAAGCCGACACTGCTAGCTAGGACACATTCTATTGGCATCCGATGCTTTGGCCACAGCCAGTCAGCCCAGCCGGGCCATGCGAGGCCTTTCCGGAAGCAGGAAGTAGTTTCATCATCCAATTCACCCACGCTCCATCTCCATCGGTTTAGCATTCAATCTCCTTTCATATCGTCCCATACTCATTATTGCCACAGCTTAATTTGAAGCTCTCCATTTAGTTTCTCCACCTGATGTACAACAACCAACCCTTGGAAATATCGTGTTGTACGAAGTACTACACGCATGTTTCTCTCTATCTCCCAAGGCGTCCTTTACCATCGCCCGTCTATCTTTACTGTATCTTCAATTTAGCCATATCCGTGTCAATGACTGTGTAGCAGAGTATTCTCCCCCATTTAAAAAGTCAGGATTTGGCAAATACAGTCGGACATCCGATGTAGAGGAGATCATGTACGTAGGTGGATGGTGAAGCATTCTATCTTTGGCTCTTCAGGTCACCTGCCTTTCCCCTCTTTCCCCCCCCGTCGCCTTCCACTCCTCTTCCTCTTCCCTTTTCTTCCCTTTTCCCTCCTCTTAGTTCTCTCCGTTTTCTTCTCCTTTCTTCCCATCTGGATCTTCAACCGTCCGTATCCAACTGACTGGTAAGCTCAAACTTGTTCCTGCATTTCCCCTGTCAACCACCCCCCTTTCCCACCTGTGTAGTCATTCCTCTACATACCAATATCCGGTGATGTGTCGTCTGTTGTCGACTGTCCCTTGGTTTCACCAGTCCCCGTGCCTTCCCTTTCTGTGTAGACATTTCAGGGACAATATAAGGTTCTAATATCTTCCCTGGGACCTAGATCTCCATTAACCAACCTCACATTTTATTCTCTATCGCAGCCATGTCCGTTGCTGAGCACCCCGAGCTCACCAAGGTCGATTCCGCCGTTGCCGGCTTGACGATATCACCCAAGGATGAGAAGGCACCCGATAAGGCCGACAAGAAGTCTCACAGGCGTACCTCATCCCAAGCCAATGGTATCTACAACATCAAGGAACTAGGTATATATCCCATAAACCCCATTCACTATCGCTTAGCTTACTAAAATATGCGTGCCTCATAGAGGAAAAAGGAATCGAAATCACTCTGCCTATCGAAACACAGAAGACTGGATGGTACGCTTTCAATTCTCCTTTTGTTCTACCCTATTAACTCTCCACAGGAAGCTAAACACCTCGCCGTCAACAGTCGAGGACGGAGACATCCTCAAACTTCACCTCGTAAACCCGCCGGTGAAGAAGATTGACCTCCATTTCCCCTTGGGGTTAGAGGTTACGGCCCGTAACTTGAAGGGTGTGACAATCAAGGATGCGCTGGACGCAATCTACAAGCAATTCAAGAAGAAAGTACGTATGCTCAATCTACGCTGTATTGGTAATCGGACCCTAACATACTTTCTTATAGGCTGATGACGAGCTGGAAAAGCCCTACCTTGCCGGCTTCGAGTGGGACAAGGAAGAGTGCTGGACACGTCTCATTGTTCACCAGACCAAGCAGGGTCCACCCCAAGTCACATCAGGCAAGAAGTCAAAGAAGAAGTCTAAGGAGGAAGCGTAGGGTGGCTATACATTTACCACATAACTCGCTCCAGTTGTTGTGGTGTTGTCTCTCTTTGCTAATGTCATTTCATGGATCTTCATGGTTTGATATGCTTCGTCTCTCGTCCAGCTTCTCTGAGCATTGTTTCTCAATGGTTCACGGCTTTAGAAGCTGCGTGTCAAGAGTACAGACAGGTGTTTATCTTTGTGATTTGGTCTTTGTTGTTTTTGATCTCAGCTCTAATCCACTGATTCCCTCGGGGCAGTGCGTGCTTGTAGAGCCGGCTTGAATAGCCAGGTCTCTTTCACTCTCTTTCAATTTCAATAATACAACTGTGTTGAACTATGAATGGGGGATCCCGGGCCACAGGCATTTGAGAAGGAAGTATCTAGTAGATGTTAAAACCTTGTTCGCGACGACAAGGTTGGATCCCTCCCGACTGCCCGTAGCATGCCTTGTTGGAGTCCATGGGAGCGGCCATTGCCAGCGATGAAGGATTATTTCCCACTTCCACGATCCACGCTTTAGGTCTATGTTGTATCTGTCCAAGTTGAGTATGGCCGTCTCCAAAGAACTACTTTGGCTGTCCTGAACATCATTGTAAAGTATTAAAAAAGACGAAGGAGAAACAAATAGATAAAGGAAAACAGATTATACTTTGGCAATGCCCCACACTTTGACATGGTGAGAGCAGAAATATATATCAATATCAAAGGCTTACTCTAACTTGCATAAACACCCCCATAAAGCATCCGAAAAACAAAAAAAAACAAAAGGGAAACTAAAATCAACC